GCCAGTGAATCACTGAGATTGGTGAATTGAGCGGTATCTGCGGCATTACGACATGTAATCACCCGCACGCTCAAAATAACGACTTTGCCCCAAAAATTTGGCTGTTTGATGTTGTTGTTGAAAGGTCGCAAAGAGGCGCCGATTATTTGCAGTGGCAAAATGTTGGTGGTGCCCCAACGCCGAAACGTTAAATTTTTACACCGCATTTTGTCGATGTTTTCAGGGATCAGAATCAGCGGATGTGAACAGAGAAGCCAAATTTCAGAAACCTTGAATTTAAAAATCGCAAAATGGTCAAAAACTCTAAATTTCGCGATTTGCAAAAAAACAAGAATATTTGGGTTTCAGTCTGTCTAGATTTCAGGAACTCTAGTACTAAAACCTCAAAAATAACTCGACTGACGTTGCTAGATACCAATGGCCTTCGAAATCACGCCCGTAAAGCTGTCCCTTGTGTTCTGGCTTAATGAAACATCCTTTTTTAATTCCACTAATTTAAATTTTAAGCATATTTTTAATTCAGTTAATTATTTCATTCTTGCAGTCGTTTTCTAACAAATTTAATTCGCATGGAGCAACAGTCTTTGCGCGTTTGCAACGGTAGTAATTTGAAAACTCGTCGTGACATAAGTAGTGAGCCGACAATTCGCGGAGTTTGCTGGTACGCTGGAACACAATTTTTGGCAACCAAGTCCGCCATCAAGCACTTCCCTTTTTTTGTGCGATTCCTCCTATTTACACGCAACATACATCCCTTCGCGGAAATGCCGAATTGTAATTATTTCCTTAATGTCATTTCCTACATTGGCGCCAGAAATTCATTGCAAAAAATGGTATGTACTGCCGGTTTTCGCATCACACTAAACAAGAACAACTGCATTTGCGGAAATCAGACCAATGTCTGACAAATTTGAAGCATTTTTTTCATAAAGTTTTTATCAGCTTTTTTTTCTAGTGCTTTCCTTATTATACGTATAAATACCCATTTTGCCATTTTTTTGTAGCCCAAACACCAATCCTGACAATTTTCTAGCATCGTGCAACAGCAGCCTTCGGTTGTTCTTTCGCATAATCAAGGACAACCAACTTTTTTTAAAATATAAATAGAGGAAGTTTTTAGAAAACAGTTTTTGTGCTATTTTTATACGTCAAGCCGTCTGCAAATTTTGATCAAAACAGAATAAGTATCGATTTTTCGACCAAAAATGACTGGTTTTCGATACAGTCATAAACTTCGAAAGATACTAGACAGTGGCGGCTGTTCATTGATTACAGTAACTGAAGGATTTTAATAATCTTCCATCATTGAAACATCAGAATTTCAAGGTTTATTTTGCTATGTTTCTTGTAGTTTTGCTCATCTTTCGTTATTTTAAAGCCTTAACACGTTTAACAATAGTGTTTCATCAAGATCAGCACTTTCATCATTTCGTTTATCGCAATAAAATGTCACTTTTCGGGTTTTGTCTAATCCGCTAAAAATGCCATCCGTTGACCCCGTAATTAGTTTTCTAATGGAATTTCGGGTAGTTTTCTGCTGCCAATTACACAATTACTCCATTAACACTCCCGGGAAAGCGAGTAAAACATCATTTTTCAATCTATTTTTGGCGGGCAAACTAAAGAAATGGGTACGGTATCGTTAAAATTCTCGTCATTTAATTAGATTTAATTTGAACTTCAAAAAATTACTTTGTTTTGCTACTTTACAGCCTTTTCTTTCCTGTGTCATCGACAAATACATAAATAGGCGAGTATCGAATCAAGCATCCCCACTAAAACATCATTTTTTAAATTATTTTGGTGACCAAATTAGAGAAATGGGCGTCGCGTTACTTTTTGACGATTTTAATTTTTTAAGCTATTTAATTAATTTAATAATTTAATTAATAGAAACGATAAGTTATTGATAGAAACAAAAAGCTATTTTATGCGATTTTTCGGCAAATAATCTGGGTCCACTTTCCCGACGAAAGTCAACAAAATATTAAAACGTTTTTATTGTTTGAGTATTTCCGGACACACTGACGAAAAAATACTAGTGTAAAATGCTCTAAAAACACGCCCCAACGTTTCAGAGCACGACCACGCTGGATAAAATGATAATTGACTCAACTTTAGGCTTTATCAGCTCCGTTTCTTGAAGCTTACCTTTAAGTCAGATATTTTTATTTTAGATTTTTTTACTAGATTACAAGATGATATTTTCCATATTTTTTGTATATGTTCAATCCCGGAAATCAGCAATGTAAAATTAAGAATTAAACATTTTTAAAGGCATGTTTTATATAGGTGTGAAGTCAATTTGAGTGCGCATGAAATAGTCGCTTTCTTCTGGATATTCCTGGGAATTTCCCCAAAAATGTCATACCTTGTCCTTGGCTTCGACATTCGTTTCTTAATGGATTTTCGGAACATTTTCGCTCACGTATTACAGAGGTACCCATTAGCATTCCTGGGATCCCCGCTAAAACATCATTTTTCAATGTATTTCGAGAAACTAGACTAACGAAACTATACGGTAGTGTCCCATTTCCCGGTCATTCAACTATTTTTTTTATTTAATTTCATCCTTCCTTTATTTTCGCGATTACATTTAATAGTAACAAATTAAAAACTGGAAATTTCGAATGATTATAATCCGGAAAAGTTCGTGAAGAGGAAACCGATATTCTTAAAAAGTTTTAGATAATAGATCTGAAATTGGCACGATCCAAAATTTGTGAAAACCCCGGTTAAAAATTATGTGTTTCATTGAAATTTAAAAAGATAAAAATTGGGTATTTATTATTATCTTGCGAAGGCTTATCCTGGACATACAGCTTAACAAGAAATTAACGAAAATTGAAGCAATACGGGCAGGGACGTAGCGTAAGGTCTGCTGCGTGCTGCTTCCCGTCCCGCCCCCGAAATCGGCCGGGACCCGAAAATTTCATAAGGGCGGACCCTTATGATTTTTATTTTCTCAAAAATTTTGCTGCCTGCGGCGCTATTTTTTCACGTGTTTACTGCGATTAGTAAAGGTATTTAGTCTTTTTTCCAAAATTTTTCTCCAAGTATGCTGTTATTATTATACAAGTATACTGTTAGACTCCCATGAACCTCATTAAAACACCATTTTTCAATTTATTTTGACGACCAAACTTGAGAAAAAGCCTTACGTATGGACGGTCTTTGATTTTTAAAGCTATTGGTCGATAATTTAATTGATAAAAACCGTCCGTGCTAAACTATTAATATAAACAAAATAATTCTGCTAAAACCTTTTACACTAACGTGGCCTATCAGTTGAGTCCATTGTTCCAACAAAAGGCAGCAAGATATCGAAACATTGAATTTTACCTACCTCTAGGCATGCCGTTAAAAATCATAGTTCCCTTTTTGGTTTTAAGTTAAGGTATTTTCTGTACATGCTGTTAAATTCACTATGTGTTAATTCAATCATAAAAGTACATTCAAAATTTGAGCAATGAAATTAAAAAATGTTTCATAAAAGTATATAGCCATCTAGCGGTCGCTTGCAATATTCGTCCTCTGGAGTTTTTGCGTCAAAAATGTCATACCTTGACCCTGGCTTCGTATTTGGTTTTCTAATGGAATTTCGGGTCGTTGTCGCTCCCATATTACAGAAGTACCCATTAGCATTCCTGGGATCACCCGGCTAAAACATCATTTTTCAATTCATTTCTGCGAGAAAAATAAAGAAATGGGTACGGTAGTGTCACGTCTATCCAATCATATAACACTATTTTTATTTCTATTTTATCTATCTACCGAATTGGTATCATAATGTCGAAAATTCACATAGGCTAATATTACCGGTGAAACCGCCAAATCCTAGCCAAAAAATTTTTTTCCACATTCTATTTTTTTATCTCATTTCACGACAACATTTTTTGCCTAGAATTCTGGGACTTTACCGGGAATTTTAGCTTATCTAAATTTCGACATTATGAAGTTTCGACATTATGAGTTTCGACATTATGAATTTCGACATTTTGAAAATAAGCCCTATCTACCTATTCTTCATTCTTACTTTATTTCCAGGATTAAACTTCTGCACAATTACACAACTATACTGTCCGACAACTATGCTCCCCGTTGAAACATCATTTTCTTAGTTTATTTTGTTAGCAAATTAGTGAAATGGGTTGCGTTATATTTGAACGATTTCTGCTTTGCTATTTGTTGTTAACTTCATTAATAGAAACCACCCCCCAAAAAGCTTAAGATTGAAACCAAAAATTTTTGCTAAAATTTTCCCGTGAGTCGTGATACCAATGGGGTCCATATTTCCGACGAAAAGCAACAAAATATTAAAATTTAAATATTAAATTAAAATTAAAATTAAAATTTTTTTTGAACTGTTGAGTCTTTTAATAATTTAGTTAATAAAAACCAAAAGCTAAAAATTTAATAAAATATTTTTCTCGTTCATCCCACAAATCATCAGCCTCCATTTTTCCGACGAAAGTCAACAAAATAGTAAAACATTTTTATTTTTTTGATTGCTTCTGAGTATGCCGATAACAAAATATTGGGTAAAATTCCTCTAAAAACCCGCTCTCACCTTTCATAGCACGACCACATTGCTTAAAATGGTAATTGACGGAGCTTTAGGTTTTCGAATAGCTTCGATTTTTGAAGCTTACCCTTAAATCCGTACCTTTAAACCTTTAAATCGGATATTTTTCTTTATATATTTTGTATTGAGTTTCAAAATCAGATATTTTTTATATTTGATGTATATATTCTATTAATTGAATATTAATTGATGTGGCAAACTCAACAACTGAAAATTTGGACAGTAAATTTTTAAAATGCATGTTTCATATAGGCGTAAAGCCAACTTTGGTGCGCAAGCAATATTATTTCTCGTGTTCTTTGGATTCATTACTTCTGGACACATTCCAGCTCATGAATGGGTGGCTGCATAGAAATTTTTTAATTTAATTTGTAATACCAAAATGCATTTCCAAACATAAAAAAAACAATTTCAGACGTCGCTCGCCAAAACGACGTCCCCACCCGTCGATTTCCATGTGGCCCACGCATTCTTCGTGCTCCTCATCATTATGGTGGTGCTCGGTAAGTAATTCTAAAAAGATCAAAGCCTTTTTAGATAAAGTTTATTTTAGGAAATTTGGCCTAGAAGTTTTCTCGCCGCTGCTTTGATTTCCGGAAACATTTTTTTATGAAAAATTCTTTTTTGAAAAATTTTAACCATATCCAAATTTTCTTAAGTGTAGCGATTATTAATTTCTAAATGATAAGCAGAGCTTTATTACTTACCTTTAGGAAACCTGGTGGTGCTCCTAGCCGTACTGGCAGATCGGAAACTCCGCACGGTGACCACCAACAAGTTCATCGCATCGCTGGCAGTTTCCGGTAATTTTTCACGGATTTCCAGGCTGTCGCAGACGATAAAAAACTCTAAAATCGTTTCAGTAATCTTATTACGATTTAGCTAATTCAATTATAGCTTTTATCATCATCGCACACAACAAGATCCATGGCTTTTTGAAACGTGTGTTAATGAATTTCGATGAAACATTCTTCGAAAAAGCACATTTTTCAGATCTGCTCGTCGGTCTGGCCGTCATGCCACTATCGCTCAATTCGAAGGTTGTGAATTTTCATAAATAGTCAATTAAAAATACCACTGAAAAACATGCTTAATTTCGATGCGTAAGTAAAAAATCGGTCCTCTGACGCATTAGAGCATTCGTATATAAATTTTGCATGTAAAGCACCAAAAGGATTCTCAAAAAGTGACGGCCAACGCATCCTCTACAGTTTCCCGAATAGCCAAAAAGGACTTGCGTCGGCCGGGAATCGAACCCGGGTCGCCCGCGTGGCAGGCGAGCATTCTACCACTGAACCACCGACGCATGGGGGAGGGAGGCGGGGAGGGGCTGAAAAGGGAAGTGTGTGCAGGCGGAGACATAATCCGATGGCTCCGAATGATTACCCTAAAACCTCGTGTATAGGTCCGGTACAATTTGGTTCCGTACCAACACAAATGACACCAAATAATGTGCGTAGGGTACAATTCGGCGCAGAGGCTATGTAAGCCAAAAGAGCCGGTTCTCAGGGCCTCATGCAGCAATTTCGTTCATTAAACCACTCAAATTGTTAGAAATAGTCGAAATACGAACAAATATTCCATCAAAATTGCAAAAATACCATACGTGAGCGGCGTTATTTGCAAGAAACCGAAAAAACGAAACACACCTAATGACGGTCATACGGAATTACGGACGCTCCGTACACATGAAAATTTTCACCCGGAACTATACACGGGGAGGACCTATACACGAGGTTTTAGGGTAGTTCAATCGCATTAAAAAAATGTTTCAAGGAAATTCCTACTTCCTCATTTCTGAAATTCAACATTGGTATTAAAAGCAGTGCGAAAATAAAATCCCATTTAAATTTTTAAATTTTCTCTAAATTTAAGGAGCCGTATATAGAACTACGCTTAATATAACGGGCTTACCTCTAGATCCACGACGATCAATGGACACTCGGGCATACCTGGTGCCAATTCCATCTGGTGACAGGTGTCTTCTCCACCACAGCATCCATCGTACATCTCGTCGCTATCAGCCTCGATCGGTTAGTCACTGATAAGAAAAGAAAGGCATACCAGCAGTGATCATGCGGGAAGTGTTTTTCATTCGATCATTCGTCAACTTTTTGCGGATTGCAATTCTACGCAATTTTTTGTGAATCAATTTCATATTCACAGCAGCAACGTTACCCATTACTGAGGGCCCAAACTAGAAAAACAGTCCAAAACGCGAAACTCGTTATTTCAATGCGCGTGGTAGTTATTTTTGCCAAACTTGAAGGGGCTAGCATGTCGAAAATCGTGTGTGAGGGGATCGAACCTATTTTACAAAAACCGATGAAAAAGCTAGTGCAAAAAACAGAGAAACTCTATTTGTGGATAAAACGGGCTAGACTATACTTTACCCCCCCCAGACGAAAGGTCTCACAGTTTTCGGTATTTTCGCTAATTTTGTCGGGATTTATGCAACGGCATTCGATAGAGCTTCAAAAAAATATACTAGAGTTTTAATTTGAGCCTACAACAATGTAAAATAAAAAAGTTACCAGGGTTGAAAAGCCCCTTCGCGACTTTTTAACCCTGGCCCCGTCTGATCGCATGATATTCTTCACTTTGCATAATTCTAGCTATTTTCGATGACAAAAAATGAGAAACGCTACCTCTCTTCCCTTATATAGGCAACCGCAACATCCGGCGTATGCTAATTGTTCTCTAACAAAGAGGGTCCTGGAATTTTCGACAAAAACTTAATTTTAACGTCGAAAACACATAATTTTTGAAAATTTTGTTATTGTGCAGTCATCCCAAGGCCATTACGCACCTAATGAGGTATAATACATGCCTCTACCTGACCCCCTTATTGAGATACTGCTGGAACACGCTGACGGAAGTTGCATGCAAAGTGGCACACACACACACACACACACACACACACACACACTATTTTTTTATATATAGTAGGATAGTCAGAACTAAAGTAAAGTGTAGCCGAAAAATCTCAAAAAGCTATACATTTGGCTGTTGACGGCGGTTATTTTCCATTATTTAATTTTTAGCTACTTTGCCATCATGTTCCCAACGGAGTATCAGCGGCACAGCGTCAGCACATCCACCATGCCCTATGTGGTGCGTCATTTTTGTGGCAAGAAAATGTTTTACATTTTTTTCCGGTTAAATTAGGGTTCGTAACATTCAATAGGTGAAATAACAGGCTACAAGTACATACAATATTTATTTTTGCTTTAATTTCACCAGCACAAAATAGTGTCGAAAAATGTTATGTTTCATGAAATTTAGGGCCAACACCGGATTTGCAAAAAACAATAGGTGGAAGCAACATAATGCTCATTAACTGGACCTTTTTAACGCTTACAAATAAAAATCGATATACAAGCTTCCCGCGGCGAAATTGCTATCATCCAGCATAGTTGTTTGTGACCGATTAGAAATTACACGCTTAAAATCAAACCAATAAAAATATAATAAAAATAACTGACAATTTTTCAAAATTTAGGTGTCGCAAAATTCAATTTTTATTGATTTTGAATTTTGATGATGGAAAAACCTTCAAAATTATTACTTTTCTCCAAGGCTTTGTCCAGTATTGTTTTTATTTTGAAACATCGAAATTCAATTCTAGCTTTGACTGTGAACAAAATTTTTAAAGATTTAACTATTATAATTTATTGCCTTTAATTTTAACGATAACATTAATTCGAATTTTTATTTGATTGTAGGTGATGATTTGGCTGATGGCGTTCTGCGTCTCCTCGTCCCTTTTCATGGAACAGAGTCCGGTCGATGAGAGGATATGCTGGATTGACAATCCGCAGTATATTGTAAGTATCGTTTTGTATTCAAAGTTTTTCAATTTAATTCAATACAGTTTTATGAGGTAAATACCGATAAATGCCGAGAAATAGCTCTTCATTGCAATTTTGAGCGATCAAAAACATGTTTCAAAAATAAATAAAGGAGGAGTTTAATGAAATGACACTATTGACCCGGGCTTTTAGGTAGATAATCAACTTCTTAAAAAACTTTAAGAGCTGAAAGCGGTTAAGATACACAAGATTGAAAATGAATGAATTTAATAATTCGAAAGACAGACCGATGTGGTATGTCTTTGGAATTCAATTTTGAAAAGATGTTTCAAGAACTGGCAAGTGACCAGGCAATGCGCATATTCCGATTTGTCGACGTATAAGGGATGTCCCAATAAAACAATCTGAATCATTAATTTTATTTCAAATGATTAATTTCAAATAAAAAAATTGAAATCGCCGTCATCTGCTATTACTTTTTGAAACGCTTTGTATTCGCCAACAACTACGTCGCACATTCCTGGGGGCCAAAACTAGCAACATTGCTAAGAACCCGAAACTCTTTTTTTTGTCGCGGGTCCTTAATTATTTCTCCACTATTGAAAGCCCTTGAAACGGCCAGTTTGTAACAACCTACAAACCTATCTTTTTATTTAAACCCTCTATTTTATAAGCCATTTTGTAATATGTACCGGTTTTTCGGGGTTGCATAGGAGCTAATTCCTCAATTTCGCTAAGCAAAATGACTGGAAGTTTCCGTTAATTAGATCCAGGGGCCGTTCCTTAACGTTTTTAAATGCGTGTTCAAATGCCAAATTGAAGTAAAAACATGGTTTTAAAATTGTTGCAAACTGGCGGTTTCATGGGCTTTCCAAAGGTGTAAATATCATTCCGATCCGATACTTCTGGATTGAGTTTGAGGGTTTGTTTTATTTATTGAGTCAGTTTATAAATTACCATCCTGTAGGCTATTGATTTTTAAAGAATTGATGAAGTCATAAAAAGGGATAAAACATCTTTTTTTCCAAAAGGCCAGTGAAAAGCGAATAAAAAGCTGCCCGAGAAAAATATGTGTCGGAAACTAAAAAAAAAATGGTAATCAAGGTTCGGAAAATTGCTTTCCGAGCACTTGCTTGTCGGTATTTCCATCACTTTTCGCTGCCTCTACCATACCCTGAAAAAGCAAAAAGCATTGCGTCGGCCGGGAATCGAACCCGGGTCGCCCGCGTGGCAGGCGAGCATTCTACCACTGAACCACCGACGCTTGGGAGAGGTGAGGCTGGGAGAGGCTGATAAGGGGTTCGATCCCAAAAGATATGCGTCCAGCCTTTTCACTCACGTTTAAAATGGAGGCAGACTTGGAAACAAGTTGTTATTTACCATTTTTAACGGTATTTTGAAGCCAAAATTCTTATGGATTTCAATTAACCGCACCATTAATTGTGAGGGTCAACGTAGAATTTTCTATCAGGCTGTCCGGAAAGTCCTTGCGGTTTTTCCTTTCGGGCATTTTTTTGAAAGCCCTGTTCATCTGGGAGCTAGACGTAATATATGATTTGGAAGTACTTTTGATGTTCTACACAGTGGCGAAGCTGATCTTCTCTAAAAACATTTTTATGATTTTTATCAGGGCTTGAAAGTCGGGACCGAAATCAACCGATTTTCTGTCTTTGTTAAAAACTAGCAATCGGCTGAGCTCCTCAAGCGCTACAAAACGCTTTGTTTTGTTTGGAAAATTACTCGGGGGAGATACAACTTGTCAAAATTTGGTTGACCTCGAGATGCTGACTTTCTCGAATGTAATAATATATGGCTGTGCCCACTCCGGTAGAGCTGGAAAGAGTATTAGTTTAAGTTTCAGGTTATATTAATGCTATTTAGGCGCTTCTAAGGTCGTTTGAGGACTTATTCGAGTGACGTGCATCTTTAGTCGACCAAAAACCGCCGTCCGCCGATCAAATTTTGACAAGTTGTATCTCCCCAGAGTAATTTTTCAAACATAACTTTTACGGCGCGTTTTGTAGCGCTTGTCGAGCTCAGCCGATTGCTAGTTTCAAAAAGTTTGCAAGCCGCTTATTGGGGGGAGTTTTTAACAAAGACAGAAAATCGGTTGATTTCGGTCCCGACTTTCAAGCCCTGTTAAAAATCATAAAAATGTTTTTAGAGAAGATCAGCTTTGCCACTGTGTAGAGCATCAAAAGTACTTCCAAATCGTATATTGCGTCTAGCTCCCAGATGAACAGGGCTTTCAAAAAAATGCCCGAAAGGAAAAACCGCAAGGACTTTCCGGACAGCCTGATATTTAAAAAACAAGTTTAGTTCGGCCTATTGTCGCCCATTTCTAATTCAAAGTAATAGAAGAACAATTTTTATATGAGGTAGAAAGATAATAGATAAATAGAACGCATAAATACCGTTGGTTTTGATGTTGCAAAAAACATGTGTTTCGAAAAAACTTCTAGCCTAACGTTAAATGGCATATGCAATAGTGCCATGTGTAGAATTCGTCCATTTGCCGGGGTAAATCTCCGAATTCCAGTGAAGTATTAAATCATAGTTGGTTTACTTTTTATCTTTTTATTCTTTAATTAGGCTTATTCAAAATAATTTTGAATTTCAGGTACTGTCGGCGTTGCTCTCCTTTTTCCTTCCCGGCGCCATCGTCGTCTACCTCTACGTGAAGATTTTTCAGGTGCTAATTAAAAACGAATAAATTGGTCAACAGCCGAAACCAAAAAATTTTAAATTTTGAATCAATATTTGCGTAAAAAAGATGTTTCAAAAAATTACCTTTCAAGGCAGCAATTTGAAAAAGTAGTGTTGGAGCAAGTTCTATTTTCGATTCCGATCGAGAATTTCGGAAACGGCGATCCCGTGAACTGAGAAATTGAGTAAAACGTGTTTAAAAAATTATCTTCCAATGCATAAATTCGAAACATGAATCTGTTGAATCGAGGTAATTTTTCCCACAATCGAAATGCTAGAAACTGGGATTCCCGGAACTAAGAAAAACTTGTTTCAAAAAATTGACATCGAAAAGATCATTTTCAAAAGTAATTCGCTCAACATTGGTGCCGTTTGCAAATTCAGCCGGAATAGAGAAGTTTCAGAAAATTTGTTTCAAAAAATCAGCTTCACAATCATCAACTCTTTAAACCAATACTCCATTCCAATCGGTTGTTTACAAATCCAATCGGGAATTTTAGAAACGGGGGTTCAGAAAATTCAGAAAATTGCTTCGAAAAAATTACCTGCGGAAGCATCAATTCGAAAAAAATAATATGTTCGACACAATTCGGATTTTATGAACTCGCGTGAGAATTCTAGAAACCGGGATTCCCGGAATTCAGAAAAACTTGTTTCAAAAAAGTTACCATTGAAATAATTTCAAAAGTAATCGATTATTCATTGGTAGTAATCACGAATTGAGCCGGGAATTTCAAGAACGGTGAGGCCCAGAATAGAGAGGTTTCTGAAAAATGTGTTTCAGAAAATCAGCTTCACAAGCTTTGATTTTTTAAACCAATTAACCATTCCATTAGCAGCACTTACAAATCCAAGCGGCAATTCTAGGAACGGGGGGATCTCGGAGCTCAGAACATTCAGAAAATCTTGTTTCAAAAAATTAGCTTCCCAAGCATCAATTCGAAAAAATAATTGATTGATTATTAGTCGGGTTTCAAGAACTCGGGTGATAATTTTTAGAAATTCAGATATCCGGAATTCAGAAGACCTTGATCCCAAAAAAATGGCCCGCCTAAAATATCGATTGCAAAAGCAATCAGCTTGGCATTGGCAGTAGTTTACGAATTCATCAGGGACTTTTAGGAACGGTGATGCCTCGAATTTAGACAATTCAGAAAAATGTGTTTCAAAAAATCATCTTCCCAAGCATTGATTTATTAAACTAATACTCCGTTCCATTCTGGTGCTTACAAATCCAAGTGGCAATTCTAGAAACGAGAGTTCAGACATCCAGAAAACGTCAAAAAATTACCTTCCACAGCAAGGACTGAATAGTGTATTTATCCCAGGACTATAATTAGGAATGCAACTGAGAATTTCAGAAACCATGATTTCCTCAATAGCAACAACTCAGAAAAAGGTGTTTTAGAAAATGACCTTCCAAAGCATCAAATTCGAAAAAATAATCGGCTCAAACGAGACCTTTTCAGACAATCGAAAGTTAGAAGCCGGGACTCCCGGAATTCAGAAATATTTGTTTAAAAAACTTAACTTCCAAAATATCAATATCAAAAGTAATCGTTTGGCCTTGGTACTAGTTGACGCATTCAAAAGGGAATTTCAGGAACGGTGGTGTCCTGAATCCAGAAAAAAATTGCGTTTAAAAAAAATCATCTTCACAATTCTTGGTTGTTTAAACCAATTATCCGTTCCACTCCGGGAATTCTGCTAGGAACGGGGGACCTCGGAGTTCAGAAAGTTCAGAAGTACTTGTGTCAAAAAAAATTACCTTCCAAAGCATGAATTCGAAAAAGAATTGATTCATTATACTCGGATTTTAAGAAGTCGCGTGAGAATTTTGGAAACTGAGATTCCCGGAATTAGAGAAGACTTGTTTCAAAGAAATTACCCTCCAAAACATCATTTTCAAAAGTAATGAGTTTTGCATTGGTAGTAGTTTACGAATTCGGCCGGGATTTCAGTAACAGTGATGCTCTGAATTAAGAAAATTCAGAAAAATGTGTTTCAAAAAATCAACTTCCCAAGCATTGATTTATTAAACCAGTACCCCGTTCCAATCGGTTGTTTACGAATTCACGGGGGTTCTAGAAATCGGGGTTCAGAAAATTCAGAACAACTTGTTTCAAAAAATTACCTTCCACAGCATCAATTTGAAAAAATAATTGATCCGAGTTCAGAACTCGCGTGAGAATTTTATCACTGAGATTCCCGGAATTCAGACAAACTTGTTTCAAAATGATTTGCGCCCAAAATATCAATTTCAAAAGTGATTAACTCGGCATTGGCAGTAGTTTACGAACTCAGCCGGGAATTTCATAGACTGCTTTTCCCTAAATTCACCAAATTCAGAATAACATGTTCCAAAAATTACCTTCCCAGGCCGTAATTTTTCGAAACTAATCAAATCTTGGTTTCGTACTTTACGAATTCGATAGACGGTTTCACAAAAATCGAAGGTCTGACTTGATGGCATTCATGGAATTCATAAAAGCATTCATAAAAGAATAGAAAATAGAAAACATGATAGAAAAGAGGATTCGATAAACCGCCATCCTTAGATTCAGAAAAGGTGTTTTAAAAATTGCCTTTCTAAGCACCCAATTTTTTGTTAATTAATCTAGCGTTTTCATCCGTCTTTATGAATTCACCCTATCCTTTCAGAAACTACGGAACCACCAGCTGTACATGTTCGGACAGCAGAGCGCCCGACAGCCAGACCATAAAAGATCATTACCACGGGTCATCATCGAGGAGGTAAGGGTGGGCGGCAACTAGCAGGATCTTTTGAGAAAGGGGCAACGTTTGACCGTAGATTTCGTTGGCTAGCCATTCGATAAAGATTTTCCCCGCAGCGCGACACTCATCGCGCACCTCCATTGCGTAATCAATGGCGTCTAGCGCGTAGCGCGGCGTGCGCGTTGTGTGCGGAGAAAATTCAGAATCGAGAAGCATGAGAAAACAGCTATTTCTATGACGCTACTAGGCGATGAATTTAAAGAAGAAAAATGGCTGCTTAAAAAAATTGCTATACCTTTCTATCTCTCGCTCTTCAGCTCTCTCACTCCCCTTCACCTTCTCAATCCCTCTCTCTCTCTCTCTCTCTCTCTCTCTCTCTCTCTCTCTCGCTTGCTTCTCCTCTCTCTCACACTCTCTCACTCACACACACTCCGTCTCTCTCTCTCTTTCTTTCTCGGTCTCTCTCTCTCTGTGTCTCTCTCGCTCTTTCGCTTTCTCGCACTCCCCGCTCCTCTCTCTCGCTCATCGCGCTAATATTTATGTTCAGGTAAAATTGATTTAAATCCGGGCTTTTCGGGCGGTTAAAAATTCTTTTATAGTTTTTTTATCGATCTATCTACCGGCGTTTTCAAAATATCGAAAGTCTAGAAGAAACTTCGGGACGATTTCCACTCTCCTATGTAGTTTTCAACGAAAGTTTTTGTATCTTAGGTGCGGTCGCGTCGCGGTTCGCGGCTCTCTCAGACGGGTTCATCCGGTGGTTCACCAACGAGAAGGAGCAGCAATTCAAAGAGCGAACGCAGCCCATCTCAGCCGGAAATTCATGCGTTACCAAAGCTACCACAACGGTGAGTGAGAAGTAGAGCCTATAAGCAATCCCTAGGCAAACCGGAAAACCTTTAAAATTACTACGGTATGACGTGTTCAATAAAACCTCAGAAAACCATTTCCGTTGTCCACTTTCTGGAAACATATTTTAGGTAAAAGGTTTCCAAAAATTATGTTTCATCTATTGGTTAAGCCGCTTTGGAAAGGAACGAGTCTTAATCGGGAATTCATTTATATTTTATTGAAAATTCTATTTCTATTGAAAATATCGTTTTTAATGGCCTTTTTGGAGATGGCGCAGCCCGACGATATGCGCCGAGACGTTCGAGCACGACCGAAATGTGGCGGCCAAGAAGCGGGTGTCCATTGGTGCGTTTCGTAGCTTGGCATTCAAAAAAATGCAATTGAATCTCTAAATTTTATGGCAAAAGCCTTTTCCAGTGCCCGATCCCCCGTCGATGGACGTCTCCTACGCGTCGAATATCGGAGCGCTACGCGCCGAGCATGAAGCCGCGAGGTTACGCGAGAAAGAGGTACCGTATTACACTGGATTTAGCCAGCTAACAAAAAGCGCTAAAACTAAATTTGAATCTGTAAATAAAATACGTGTAATTTTATAAATACGAAACAATTTTCAAAATCATTGGGGGTATTTATAATTTTAGACTTTCACAATCCTTAAAATGCTGTTATTGATGATTGAATTCCGAAATACAACCTAATGAAATTCTGTGGAAAGGAAACCTTCCTTTTTTGAGGTTTCACGAAACATTTTTTGGTAAAGAATTGCAACATTATAAATCGAACTACACTACCGTTGCTAACTGCTAAAAATGTGCGCGTTTTTCATGTTAGCCTGTGTAAAAATTCGCGCATAAAAAAATTAAAAGTTTTATGGCAAGTAGTCTTCAAAATCCTCCCTGGGTTGTATTTATTTCAAGCCATATTCCACTAGGGCTTGAAATTTTCATTCGTGAAATAACGGCTATACAGCATAACTATGACAAAGATTTGGTGTGTTTTTCCAATCTGTTACGAAACAAGTTTTTGCCCATGCATCGGATCATTGATTTGGCACCCTCCTTCGGGGGCCGTAGCCTTATCACCCCGACCCAACCTCCCTTCCCCCAAGCGTCGGTGGTTCAGTGGTAGAATCCTCGCCTGCCACGCGGGCGACCCGGGTTCGATTCCCGGCCGACGCAATGCCTTTTGCTTTTTGGGGGTATTGTCGTGGAGCCCAGAGCGCGTCAGACGAAATGCCGACATGTAGAAATGCCGACAAATAGAATCTTGATAAGTAGAATCTGGAGTAGTAAGTAAAAATTGGCTCGCGGTCGGGATTTCGGCCGTCGGATATTCGGAATTTTCGTGTCGGCATTTTCGTAAGTTGGGTTTTTGCTTGTCGGGATTTCGTCTCTTTATTCGTAAAATTCACTGCGCCTGAAGCCCGTGTTTTGAAGGCCGCTATTTGTTGTTGACGGAATTTCTCGATTCCCGATTCCATCGGAATTTAGGTTTACGGTATTTTTAGTGTCGGGATTACGGTCAGAATCGAGGCACAAGTTTACATTTTTTGTCTAAAGAGTAGGATTAATATTTCTGAATTTCATAAGTAAACTAAATGATTTTCCAACAATTGCTAACGAAGAGTAATTATCGGTAATGAGGCGACAGAAAGATTTATTTTAATGCCGATGGGTGAAACATTTTTTTCGGAACCAAAAATAACTAAGAATTCAACGAAATTTTCAGGAAGCCGAAGTGCGGCTAATCGAAGAGCCGAAAGTACGAAAATTCTCCGAGAAATGCTGCGAGCGGCAGGACGTCGAGAAAAAGTCACGTGAAAAACTGGCGGAACGGCGGCGGAATTCGATGGACAGTCGCCCCAATGGCATACCCATTATGCTGGCGTTTAATAAGGTCCGTTAAATTTTACCAAAAGGCACGAAAAGTCGAAATATTGAATCAACCAGAGCTTGTGGAGCGCTTATTTTTCAAGAAAAACCTTTTCCAAATCAACTTAATATTTATGTTAGTTTTACTGCCTTTTGGGAACTAATTATGTTTCAAATTTTTCTTTACAAATGATGCTTTTGATCATCAATAGTTATCATCGTTGATTGAAAAACACAAGTGAAAAATTTGAGGGAATCGAAATGTGTATTCGATTGTTATATACCAGCGCCCAAAACCCGCTTCGCGGGCCTTGGGCGCTGGAATGCGGCCTTTGCATGAGAATCTGGCTTTCCGATAGCTTGGGTCCTCCGGACCCTCTCACTCACCCGACCACATTCACGAGTGCAACTGGCAAGAATGAGGAAATTTCTATTTTCCACATTATGCAATTTAGCCCTCACAACCGGCTTTAACTTTGTAAACTTGTATTTTATCGGCATTCTGAAAACACCATCGGAAAGAGGAGGGTCGATGCACTGACCCCCGCACACACAGACACACAAAGAAACGCAACCAAATTATCCTACTATATATAAAAAAATAGTGTTTGTGTGTCAGTGGTATTTGCATGCAACTTCCGTCACCGTGTCCGGAAGATAACTCATGAGGGGATGGGTTTTTAGCTACGTATGATACGTCATTAGGTGCGTAATGGCACCGAGATGACTGCACGTATACCAGATTTTGCAATTTATGCTATTTTCGAGGTTAAAATTAATTTTTTGTTGAAAAACCGGGCGACCTCTTTGTTAGGAAATAATTACCATACGCCGGAAGTGGCGATAGCCTATTTAATGGGAGAGAGGGAGCACTTCTCAGTGTTTCTCATCGCATTTTGGGCGAATTTAGCAAAGCGAAGAATATTATGGGATTTAGACGGGTCCAGGGTTGAAAAGTCGCGAAGCGGCTTTTCAACCCTGGTATAAGCTAGGATTATTGTATCCCTATATCCCTACAAGTATTGTATCTGTACAAGCTGCCTATTGCCTTGGAATTCCCAGTACTGCAGCCTAATTTTGGTGAAACACATTTTTGGAAAAATCGATAACTGTTTTTGCGGATGCTATAAAATGCCTCATATTGGCAGCCCTTTGTGAAACTTTTTTACAAGTTTAAATAAAATTTAATTTTTACCTAAACCAACCTATCGATGGTTGTTTTCGAGTTTGAAGGTATTTATGAATGATGATGACAGAAAATGCTGGTCATTATTCTCCAAAAATTTAGTGCGACGACCGCTAACTTTAAATAAACACATTTTTTTAACAAAAATGTTGAACTTTGGAGAGAAATCTTATTTTCTATTAGTAAGTTTACGAGTTTTTTTAGTTATTAGTAATTTTGTTTTTACTGTAAACAGCGTTCGTCAAATTAAAAACGTTGCGATTCAGCTTTACTCTAATTTAAATTATCTTACGTCCTACTACTTTTAACTCCCGCTACCCATACCTCCCAGCCGCTGTAAAACCCGAAAATTCAGCTGTTCCAGGCGTACAACGACATCAGGATGGGCAGAAGAAGATCATCGCTGGGCCGGGAAGATTCAGAAGGTAAATAAATTTATTAGGAGTAATGAAAATGGTTCTGTGGCATTATCGAGGGCACAAAATTTTCGTTAATTGAGTCCAATTTTTAAGTAAAAAGTGAAATTGCGCCTTAGCCGTTCGCCTTCAAATTGCGCCTGCAAAGGCTAGCGAAAAATGTTTCACGTAGCCTCAAATTGAAAAGGGTCGCTAGGCTTTTATTCAAACTAGATTTTCTCACGATACCTTTCAGAAATCCACATGCCCCTCCGCGTACACCTATCGACAGTCTATGCGGATGACGAGGAAAATGCAAGTGCAGAACATCCGGTGCGTACTTGATTGTCAAAAATTTTTTTGGGTTGGAACAAAGTGTTTCTCAAAAATGGGAATTGCGTGGTACTAACTTTTGTTAATTTGGAGACTCAACCTGTGGAAGAATTTTTGGCTTATGCCAGATTTTTCCCCAAATCACTGCCTCCCGCGTAAATTCTTAAAATTTTTTTAGAAAAAATTGCAGTACGAGGAAATCCTTAACATACGCGGTACACATCTGATAGCGGTGGGGAGGCACTCAGAATTTTTCTGCAATGAAAAGGGTTTTGAACATGATTTTTCGGGGATTTAGGAAGGCTCTTAGTATATTCTTCGGCGTCCTATCGAATGGTATATTCAAAATCTCGAAAATACTGAAAATACCGGAAGTCGACTCCTCTCCAGATCCTATGTGGTGCCCATAGTTTTCCTTCTATACAACTAGGTTTACATTACATTTTTTCGGGCTAAAACAATTATCTAGAATATTTTTCGACGATCTATCAAATGGCATTGCGAAAGCTACAGCATTTTAAAATGTTAGAAAAAATGCGAGCGCACGCTAATTTAACCCAGCCGGTTCGTTTTTGTAATTTTCCAAAAAACTCTTGTTAGGATTAAAAAAAGTGTTTTTCAAAAATGTGCATTGCAAAGTCGTACCCCTGGGCTGTAATTCAGAGACATAACCATGGCAAGGTTGTTTTAGTTTTTGTCGTATTTCCGCAACAAGCGCTGAAAGGCAGCCCCCGAAAAATTGTCATAATTGATGAACGCGTTTCAAAATTTTGTAATTGATTAAGAAAGAATTAAGCATTTTTACATTTAATTATTTCACATTTAAACATCAAGCAATTAAGCTCTTAGTATATTTTTCGGCAACCTATCTGATGGCTTTTTCAAAATATCGAAAATATTCAAAATACCCAAATTAGGTTATCCTATGCCGTGCCCATAGTTTTAAACCATAGTTTTTATGCTATACAACTTTTACGTTACATTTTTTTGGGCTGAAAACAATTATCTAGCATATTTTTCGACGATATATCAAATGGCCGTCCCTAAACCTACAGCATTTCAGTTAGAAATAATGCGGGCCTACGCTAATTTAACCCAGCCGGTTCGTTTGTAATTTTCTAAAAAAATTTAGTTGGGGACTTAAAAAAGTGTTTTACAAAAATATGGATTGCAGGGTCGTATCCCTCGGCTATAATTGGGCTCCGCCAAGAGTGTTTTGCCTTTTTCCGATTTCCCTGAGAAGCGCTGCCAAGGCAAGGAAATTTCTCAGGAAAATTGTCATAATTGGTTAAGGCGTTTCAAAATGTCTTAATTAATTAATAACAAATTACAGTACGCGGAAATTCTTAAAATGCGCGGTAAATAGTTTTCGACGATTTACCAATGGAAATTGCAATATGCCAAAGTATTTTAAATATTAAAGATTAAAGCTGCTTAGTGCGCCGTCACTTTACCCCCCCGCTATTCTATATGTACCAGATTAACTCAAATACTTTTTAGGCGCTCGAAACGACCACCGAATTGGACGAAAAATCGGACGAGCCGGTGGAGGTTCAGGTAACGAATTGCACGCACTTCTGGCATTACAAGTCCCGATAATTTTTTTGGTCTGCTAATAGTTTGAAACATACAAATGTTTTAAACCGGAAAACCCTAAAAAGTTATGGAAATTTTTACAATTGCGTTTCAGAAATTTTGTTTTAAAAGTAATTCGACGACGTCATTTATTATCGTCAATTCTGAAATTGTAAAAAACACTGAAATTTAACCAAAAAATTCTTATTGCGTGAACCAAAAAATTGGATTACGGGGGTAAAAAGATCGCTGAACTCTATCATTTGCAAAACACATGTTACAGCCATTCCCCAAAATCGAAGAGGAGGAACAGCAGATTAGCGCAGAATCTTCGGAAGCGCCAGCCTGTCGCCCATTGCTACCGTAAGCCTTCACTTTTCAAGCTTTAGCAATCTCTCAGAATCCTGCTAGGGCGTATCAAAATGGGATCGATTAATTTTTTGAAAATTCCAGGTTGCCGGCCGAAAACTTGTTGCAACCATTGCCGAGGCTCTCCAAAATTGATACCACCCAAATCAAGCCCAACAACGGGCAAACCAGGTAAAAATCAATGGTTTGAACATTGTCGAAGTCGAGGGTCTACCGAAGATAGGCATTTCGTAGAGAGAGTGTCCCGTAGTCAGCCAGAAACTTTTTTTCTTAGGAACATTTTGTAAATATAAACAGCACAGGGTTTCTAAATTGTTTTTACTATCCTGAAACGTGAGACATTTGCAAGCTTTTATTAAAAGCTACAAAAATATCGATTTTCGACCAAAAATCGCCGTATTTGGACTAGGATTTCGAATCTGTTAAAAATTTGTGGAAATTTTAGATAGTTTTTCTAGTTAAAATATCCTTTGATTTTACTAAAAACAGTATGAAGATATTTCCTATTAAGTTACTTCACATTTCCAGATTAATACAAAATTTTTGCTGCCCCCCGCAATAAAGCGAAAAAACCCCAATTTCCATTGCAGCACGTCAGCGGCCCTTTTAAAAACGCAATAAATTCTTGAAATCGGCTCCCGAGCGTGATTCTTTCAGACTGCGGCCCCAGGGGATATTTGGCCGAATGCGGGATCGGCCTGCAATGTGTCCCGATGGGCCCCTATCAATGTGAGCAGACTGCATATTTAGCTTCTCTGCCGCTTTCTAGCTATCTCTCACACACTCTCTCTCTCACTCTATCTCTCTCTCTCTCTCTCTCTCTCTTTTTCTCTCACTCTCTCTCTCTCCCTCTCTCCCCTCTCTCTCTCTCTCTCTCTCTCGCTTTTAGCTTCTCAGCTTTCCCCGCTGCTTCTTCTTCCTCCGGCCAGCACCCCGCTTCTGTCTATCGTACTGTAGCAGCAACGTAATGTACCTCGCGGCACGCACAGAAAATAGAATTTATGGGAAGCCTGCTTAAACGAGTAATAATGACAGGTCACAGTAATAATGACGAATGGAAAAAAGATTATACAATTTTTTGTAAAGTGTCCGAAAAATTTGAATGCGCTATTCGAACCACCACTATCCGCAATTATAGATTGCGAATAAATGAATTGCGGTGAAACATTTTGCTTTTGCCTAGAGCGTTGTCGATTCTTTTTCCGAAACTAGCAATCGTACAAAAAAATTGTTTCATAACAAAACATGTAGCCTTTCGGAATTCCTGTAACACTGGTGAATGGTTCAGCTCGAGTTACTTGTTCTAAATCGATTTTTTTAACCTGCTGTTTCGAGGGTTTACTTCCCGTTTAGGAAGTCTACATTTGCCATGATTTTACGCGTTTTTACACAGCTTTATTTGAATTCTTCTTAGTAGGATTTAAATGGTTAAACTTGAGCTATTGAGCCCGAGAAATCCAAAATAATTTTTTGCTTATGATAGTTTTTTGTAAGAGAATGTTTCGCCCAACATATAGGCATAGACTAGTCTAATACATTAAGTTTCCGCACATGGTAATTTTGTGTAGTGCTTTTATAGGGTTTTAATATTGATTGCTAAAACACATCAAAAATTATTGGTCAGTAGAAAACCTTGCCTTTTTAAGCCATTTTTAAAACATTATTGACCAAGACATCAAATATTTCGAAAATTGTCAAAATCGTTGCTTTTTTGCTAAATATTACCGCACTGATATTGCTTACAAGCATATTGTTCGGTTTATGATTTTTTACATTAAAAACTTTAAAAAATTTTCTAGCCTACGCTACGGTAACCGTATCCCGCCACCGACATTCCTGATGGTACCCGCGGTGATGAGCCTGGCCACGCCCCCTCTCAGCCCGTCAGTTGTACAAAAGGGACCCGCTACGCTTATGGTATGTTAGAGTAATTTTTTAAGGAGAAGGAACGGGGCGTGGCTATCAAATTTAGGGGTAAATATCAAAGTTTTGATTTTATGGATCATATTTTTCGGATCTAGTACGTTAGCGGCGGGGGGTGGGGAAGTAGGCGGCGAGCAGCTAAGTGGATTCAATTGCATAAAATAACTGCTAGCTGTTGACGGAATTCGTGGACCGATTTTTATTTCTACACTTTCGCTGTCAAGAAAGGCCCAAAAGCTCCATTATTTTTTTATCTTTTTCAATTTTGTATTTGGCATCCAATATGGTGTTGCTAAACTGCTTTTTAATAGCCCTAAACGTGACAACTTTACACTCCGTAAAAAAATGAAAAATAGGTAAAAACTAAAAAATGCGATAGTTCCACCAAAATTTCGAGTTCCATTTTTCTTTCAATTTTAGATAATTTTTGCGCTTCAGTAAAAACTTAAACACACTTAAATTTGTTCAGAAACTATGAAAATACCTGCTACAACCTTAGCTTGTAGCAGGTATTTTTTGTAAGGCATTCCTTGTGGTATGAAAAACCCGATCTCCCCCCGATCATCCGAAAGCACCATAGGTTTTTAGCATTAAAAAAAAAACCCTAATTCAAATTAAAGCATGAAAGGCTCATAGTCCTGAAAGAAATTCCCGATTTAGGATGCAGATTCCTGAAACACTCCTAGTTCCAAAAAGTCGATCAGAGTGATCGACGTATGCCGTCGGTATCCCTTTAAAAATACAAAACGTTTTTTGATCCCAAACCACCGATTTTCGGGTAAACTTTTACCTAAAGGTTTTTTAGAAGTGTTTTTATTGTTTTTATATGAATTTCAATTTTACTAAAGGACATTGCTAGGCAGAGTGAAAAAAATGGCAAATTCTGGGCTGTTAAGAACCGCCTCCCCCCGATAACGCCAAAGAACCCCCGGATTCTTGAACTTTTTTGAACTTGAAGCAACTTCAAAAATACAGTGGTTCCTCGTGAAACATCAAAAGCTAATTCGAAAAAGCCTGAAAAATTCACGAAGCCGCTAGTGTTGAAACCCATTTGTTATCTAGCAGGCAAACTCCTGAAACATTATTTAGTCGAATTTCCAAAAATTAAGATTTTAGAATTTTTAGAATTAATTAGATTTCCAAATTTTGGTAATTTTTAATAGCAACGCTACAAATATGGCAAAAAGGTTGTATGGAAAATTTGAATAATTTTTAGGTACCTCGATTATTCGATTGCCCCTCACCATCCTGTGGCTCGGCTCCGTCGAATTCATCCCATTCCTCCTATACCTCGGCGAGTGGCAGCAGTGATACGTACGTTTTTTAGCCTTTGTTTAAAATATCAATGCTAAATCAAGCGTTTGTAAAACACCTTTTACTATTAAACTTAAAGATTAAAAAATACGATTTTTAGGCAATTTAAAGTCTTTTTCGCGGTTCTTTCCCATATCGGGGGAATTCCGTTGGCGGCCATTTTTCTAATCCTAACCTAGCCTAAGCAAGTGCCAGTTACCATTTTTCACTATTCCGAAGCACAAAAACTTTACAATTTTTTAATGTAAAAAATACAAAAATATAAATTTTTCGTCTAAAATTCCTAAATTTTCCAAGTTATTTAAATAGTTCCCTACTCTAAATATAGTTAAAATTTACTAAAAGCTCTATTAAAACACTTATAAGCAGGCTTTCGGAACCTGTGCAAAAATTCGGAATCCCCCCGGATAATGAACAAGAACCTTATTTTTAAATTGGAAATGAATTTCCAATGTTTTTTCACATTTTCACAGTTTCACAGTCCTGGTAACTGTCGCGGCACGTTTTAGCGAGAACTATGCAAATTCTTGAAACATATTTTCAAAAAAAGATGTTTACCAAAATTATGTGAATCGAATGGCGCACTTGGGTTTTAATCTGGATCGGAATGGTATGGGTAACTTTCAATCGCTTTTCCAAAACCTCATAAGAATTCTATTATGATGTATGGACTTTAATCGCTTAATTTAAAAAAAATTTAATGAATATAATTGTTAGTTAACAATTATTTATGCTAATTATTACATTTTTGATTATTTAAGGTACCGCCGCATCTCGATGAACAGCTACGGGAGCAGTCTGACGGACGGCACGGATTCGACGTTTGAGATTGATTCCAGGTCAATTGGAAATTGGCAATTAATATCCGTAAATTCTCAAGTTTTTCGTGTTTTTTAATGACCCTTTTTTACTTAAACCTTACGGTAAGAGATACGGCCAATATTAACCTTGGCAATTGGCAAGCAAAAAAAAATTTTTGTAATAGAGTGAAAGTGTTTCGAAATTATAGGTACTTTTTTTAAGGGATTTTAATAATGATTCATCGTACTACTGACTTCCCTAATAACATGGTTGCCAGGATATGAAATCAATTTCAAAACTATTTCGAAGAAATTTCTATGGCGGAGACGCATGATTATATTGCCGGTATTTGTCGTGGGTACTTGTGCCTTAGCGGGGGGGGGGGTCTAGAGCGCTAAACGAACTTTTCCTTTACAGTAGTTTAGTTTAGTAACAAAAGCTAGCGAGAATGTGTTACGAATTGCTAGGTATTTTTTTGCGGAGTTTTACAAGTAATCGGCGTTTCGTTTGTTCGAACCATCAGCAGTTAAGCAACAAATTTCTTAGTATTCCGTTTTTTCAAGAAAATACAAGAAAGTGTTTTTACTATTGCTAAAAGCAAAACCTTTCAAATTTGCGTTAAAGAAGCCATCTATTTTTCGGCGGAAAAAATTGGATTTTCAAAAAGTTAGGCAGTTTTTTCGTTTTAAATTTGTCTCCAAGACTATTAAAATAGGCTTTTAAAGTCGGTGATGGCATGCTAGCGGAGGATATTTGGGAAAGCGACAAATGCTAGTCGAAAATAATCAGGAAAGTTCCGAAAAATATGTTTCATAGTTATGGGTATTTCCGGACCATAGATGCGTTATAGTATCGATGGTCGATATAAATCGATAATTTCATAAATTTGAAACCATGCTTTCTATGGCAAGGCAGCGAGCGGAGATTATTTAGGAAAATGCAACAAATGAATCAATAAACTTTTCTTTTTCCAAAAAAAGAATGTTTTGCGCAACAAATGGGCCAGCAACCGATTTTCTAAAAGAATTCTGGTTTCTTAATGCAGTCAAAATTGTTATGCTATCAATTTTTCCTTGGCTTACCTTACAAAAAAATTACTGTATTAACTTTAAATTATAGACGGAGCAGCGCGTGGTCAACACTCCGCTCGGCCGTCCTCAGCAACGATTTCAAGGTATACAAAAAATTACTGAAATTAATAGGTTTCATTTTATATCTGGATGAGCTGCAAAATACACAAAGTAATAACTTTCCGTCTAACGCGAGGAAATTACAAAAACATGAAACTTTTAATTTTTATGATTTTTTAAAACCTCTTATAAAATCCATTTTTCTTGCTCTGTATTTTTTTAAGGGCGCTATAAAATGTAATATTTTATTGTTACAACAAAATCCCGGGTTTTGAAAATTTAAAAGCGTAAATACTTCAAATTGGTCGTAAAAATAAAAATTGGGTTTGTGGCTTTATAAAACTTTACTCTTATTTAAATATTTAATTTTAAATATTTTGATTTTGCTTTATATATTTTAATTCAATATTCTGCTCTGCTGTTTTCGAAAATGAAAAATAAGCTTTCCAAGGGGCGGAATTTAGAGAAGAGTTTTTACCACCGGCTGTGAGAACAATGTAATCCAGGAGGTTTTCCTAACTGAAGGTTAAGGTTTATTGAAACACAATTTTTTTTAATCAATGAGCCGTATATTTTCTAGCATTTTTAATGAATTATACAATCCACTCCAGAGCTATTCCCGGTCTCCGGTCGAAATCTCCGTCGACGGCGTGCATTTTCACAAGAAAAACGGGCTCAGTCGCGGGAAGCTGAGGCGTATCGCCACTCAGGTAACCTTTAGAATGTAATAAAATTATTATAATAGTTTTTCAAAAATTATGAAAGGCTAAAGCATTTTTATACTCTACCGAAGATCCACCAATTATTATTGAACATCTCATTTCGGGCGTAAATTTTTTGAAACATTTGTGTAGTAAAAAGCTTAAAATTCCCAGTTTGCAATCATTTTTTGATAGGAGCCGACGCACAAATTCTAAAGTGGAAAACCACAATACCTCTGTGTGTTTAAAGGTGTTTTAAGGCATGTTTCAAACTTATTTTGCACTCTCGGGTCTAAGGATGCTAGAAAAATGTTTAAAAATTTATTACGGGCCATAGTTATTCAAACGTTCACACAACGAGATCTCCTTAAATTTTAACAGCTTTTTAAATACGTTTATCACTAAAGTTTATAGGTTACCCGAGCGATAAGACGGAAACGGAGGGAATCGATGGCGATCCGGCGGGAGAGTCGAGCCACGAGGGTCGTCGCCGCTATTCTTAGTGGGTTTTGAATTTTAAAGTTTTGTCACGAAAATCTCTAAAAATGTGTTTCTTGGAGCCAGTGGGTGACTAGCGTCAAAAGACGCACAATTTCGATACGTCATCCGCATATCACACCTGTAAAAAATAGGCTCACCCTGAAAACGATCAGGCAGCCCGCTTACCTTGAAATTGACATTGAAAATTATTGAAATTCCATTGAAAATCTTATTAATTCAGAAAAACTTACATCACGTTAGAACATTGCAACTATTGAATTAAAGGCTTCACGAAGGTTTTATATTTACCGGTGGAGTATTTTTGCATCTGAATCCAAGTGGCACTGTGTACATCGGTAAGCCGGCGGTTTGCCAATTGATTGCAACATCTATATTTGACGCGCAAAACGACACAACCCTCAATTGTGTTATCGATTTTAAGGCTTTAAGCAAATGAAAATGAGTGAGCAAAAAATTGGTAAATATACAGTAGCGGCCAAAAGTTTGTACCGACCTTGCCTCGCATTCTAAAATTTGCCCCAGAAACTCGGAGAAAGGCTCCAAAATCCTATTCCTTTCGGAATTATATCTTCTAAGGCTGTATTTTATAACACGAAAATCCCTATGCATTTTGAAACTGTATTTGGCTTTAAAAGTCGATTCTTAAAGAGGGGGCGAAAAGAGGTTAGGTCAAAAGTTTGTACCGACCATCTTTCAAAATTCGATAAAAGGCTAAATAATGTAGCTTAGGGTTCAATTCTGCTACTGACGCATATTATTTGCCGGTATCTGTCGTTTCGCATTCAAAAAACAGCTCAAAAAAACTCCAGGGAAATTTTTGAAAAATTCGATTTTAATATGGGAAATGTGGTTTTTCGACCGTAACATTCGAATATGCCATATTATTGTGGCTTCTTAAAAGCCATCTGAAAGAGCATAGAAAAACACACATTTCCATGGTAAAAAGCCCTCGAGAAGTTGGGATCTCACTGGGTTACCCTTCGGTAAAGTTTGCAGGCGGCGGTTTTCATAGTAAATCGGTACTTTTCCCCGCGGAGGGGCTTATTAAATGCGCAACTCCTCCGCCTCGGGGGATTGCCTGTTGAGATATACAGGGTGTCCCATAAAAAAGCACCCCTCCGGCATTTCGCCGTATCACGTCCGATCGGTCCCAAAATTGGAGCAGAGGTGTATTGGACCCTAAATAACCACAATCCTGAGTTATAGCCCGCCAGCTATAGTAATCATCGAGATACAACAAAAATAAACTTTATTATCCGTTTTTCATATGGTTTTCGTCGAAATCGACCCTTCGAATATTAAGTGAAAATGAAGCGGCAAGCCTTCTTTACCCCTAGAGATTTTTTTCTGATAAAAATTAGTGAAATAACCGCTGATTTCAACAATTTTTGTAACGCAAAGTCACCCCCAATATTAAGCGAAATTAGGGATTCGCAGCCGGAAGTCGATGCAAATCGATGCAAAGTCCAAAAAGATAGCCGAAAAAACTGTTAAGAATCGCTTAAGAAATGGTATTTTGGCGATAACTCGAAAACTACTGTAGCGATCGGGCTAAAACTTAGGATTGTGGTTATTTAGGGTCTGATAGATCCTTGTGCAACGTATGGGACCGCCGGGATGTAATACGGCGAAATGCGGGAGGGGTGCTTTTTTTTGGGACACCCTGTATATGAGAATGTGTGTTTTCGGATGCTGTTTCCGATCGTATATAGAAATTACAACTTAACTGCAGTTTTAAGCCGGTATGGTCTAAAAACCACATTTCCCATATTAAAATCGAATTTTTCAAAAATTTCCCTGGAGTTTTTTGAGCTGTTTTTTGAATGCGAAACGACAGATACCGGCAAATAATATGCGTCACTAGCAGAATTGAACCCTAAGCTACATTATTTAGCCTTTTATCGAATTTTGAAAGGTGGTCGGTACAAACTTTTGACCTAACCTCTTTTCGCCCCCTCTTTAAAGGGGCTCGGAAGTCAGAATTCGCGCATGTGGGGATTGAACCTACTGGTCAAAAAACGAAAGGGTTACTGCCGAGAAGTGCCATAAAATTGTTTTCGTTGCGAAAAAACGCAAAATATTTGAGTAAAACCGAAATCTTTTCGGGGCGAAAACGCCTTTTTGAGTGCGCGGCGATTACATGTCGTAATGCCCTGTAAGGCATCCAATCCCTCGATCTCGGTCATTCTCTGCTCAAATTGCATAATTAAAACGTTTAGAATGATCAAAATTCGATGAGGATTACAGAAATAACGTCAGAATTTTGAAATTCAGGCGTTTTCCCTAACAAACAGGGCATAAAGAACGTGCGACGCGGTCGCGTTGCGGCCGCATCTGGCTATTTGCCAGGAATCACAGCGGGGGGCCGTGGACCAGATTTCGGAGCCCCTTTAAGAATCGACTTTTAAAGCCAAATACAGTTTCAAAATGCATAGGGATTTTCGTGTTATAAAATACAGCCTTAGAAGATATAATTCCCAAAGGAATAGGATTTTGGAGCCTTTCTCCGAGTTTCTGGGGCAAATTTTAGAATGCGAGGCAAGGTCGGTACAAACTTTTGGCCGCTACTGTAGTTTTGATATGTAATTTTTAAAAAATGTAAAAAAGAAAAGGAAATGAAAAGCATAGGGAAAACGCCAAAATCCCGACAGCCAAAATCCCGACAGCCAAAATCCCGACAGCCAAAAAATACACGACAGCCAAAACACTCTACAAAAATAAACTTTAGATTTTCAAATAATTTATGGGAAAACGGCCGGAAAGTTCACATTTTGACTATATGAATGATGGCTGGAATTCAAAAGGCTATCGTAGTCTTTTCTCAAAATTAATAAGTTTCGAAAAGCGGCACTTATCAGTTTCCGCCCCGCTAGATTTAAAAATTTCTGAAACGTTTTTTCCGAGCAGGTCTCACCTAGCCAGTTTTAAAGGGGCGTATTGATCGATTACGCAATGAAATAACGCGGATTGGCGCTTTGCGTGTGGGCGAAATCCGGCAAAATGAGTAGTCTTGCCTTGGGCGTGCCTTTAAAGGGGCTCGGAATTCAAAATTCGTGCGTGCGGAGATTGTAACTATTCGTCAAAAAAATACAAAACGGTTGTCGAGAAGTCGCAGAAAAGTGACTTCGTTGCCAAAAAAACCTAAAATATTTGAGTAAAATAGACATTTTGTCAGGCGCAAAACGACATTTTGAGTGGGCGGCGATTCCATGTCGTAGAGCCTTGTAAGGCACCCAATCTCTCGATCTCGATGTTTCTCTGATCAATTAGCATAATTAAAAAGTCTAGAATCGTCAAAAGTCGGTGAGAATTCCAGAAATCGCGTCAGAATTTTTAAATTCAAGCGTTTTCGCGTCAAAACAGGGGCAAATGACCATGCGGCGCGGGCGCGTTGCGGTGGCATCTATCTATTTGCCAGGAACCAACGCAGGGGGCCGTGGACCAAATTTCGGAGCCCCTTTAAACCCCTAATTCCAGTGGCGTTTCTGATCTGCTGGTTGCCGTTCTTCTGCCTATCCGTCTACCGTGGCATCCTGGTCGGCTTTCGGGTCCATATCTCGCGCGAATGGCACACGCAACTCTACGTCGCCACCAGGTACGTTAATTTTGAGGTTTTCGAAACGTTTCTAAGTTTGTTATATAACTGATATATACGACAAGGGAATTCAATGTACGATTAGTACAGCAAACTGCCGATTTTTTTGAAACATTTTGCAGTTTAAGCTCAAAAACGGTACTTTTGCATTATCGGGGGGGGGGGCTCAATTGCTTTATTATGAGTCTAGAAATGCCTTTTACTTAATAGTAAGTGTTTAATAGTATTTTGAAGAAAATATAATTAAACTGCAGATGCAAAAAACCACACGTTAATAAAACTAACGTTAATAATTTTTAGTCGGAATTTTGGTGGAAAAATCGTTATTTTTGTATTTTCTGATGAAGTTTAGATAGATAGTAAATAGTAAAAAACAGCTTAAAACATGTGCGCTATTTTTGGTTAGAAAAATTGGGTAAGAAAAAATTGGTCCTCCCCCCGATAATGCAAAAGTTCCGAAAAAAGATTGGAAACGAATGCGGGCGCGTTTTTCGATCTGAACATAAATTCTTGAAACTTTTAAAGTTAATTTTAAATTCATTGAAAATTTAATTTAAAGAAACTATTTTATTATCATGTTATTTATTTTCATTTCGACAGATAAAGCTTTATTCTTCTGCTTCATTTAACTTAACGATTTTTGCAGTTGGCTTGGCTACGCGCACTCGTGCTTCAACCCGGTCATCTACATGTGCCTCAACAAGAATTTTCGGGCCACGCTACGCAGGATGCTCTCCGTACAGCACAGGGGATAGTCGATTTACGACGGTTAAATTCAACCTAAAAATTTAAAAAATTAATTTTTAAGTGAAATTTTAAAATTCGTGTGTTTCAAGATTGTCAAAGACGCTGAATTATCAGCAATTTGCAATGTTGTGCCTATGATGGACGATCAGCGATTTCTTGGAACATAGTAATTGTATTACGAACTTGACTGTTATGTTTTTCATCAAAGAGAAATAATATTTAAAGAAATCCGGTTCTGGACTGTTACCGGGGGGAAGCTACTTTTTGTTTTTCCAGCTAGACCTATTCGTTGATGATAGATTATGTATCTTTATGGTGTTTTTAGTACTTTTTGATTGCTAGAAAGTCACAAAAATATTTTAAATTTTAAAAATTTTAAAAGTTCGACAACTTTGACCTTTTTTGGTCCTTTTCATACAGTTTTGACGAAAAGTCAAAATTTTCGACAATTTTTATTATTTTGAATATTGTTTTATATCTAAAAACTAGTTAACTGCTATAAAGATTTGTTATGAGGCCGTAGAGAATCACAGGGGAAAAATTTGATCCCCCCGCTAACTTAAGAGTCCAGTGCCAGAACTCCTATAAAATCGATGTTTCGACCCCGGAAGATATCGGGTCAAGTAGTTACGTGACAATCCTCGAACGATAACTGAGCGCTTCCGTATTGTAACCCTAATTTTTAAGATTTTATTTAATCCTTTTGATTGTATTGAATTTCTGCAAATTTGCCATTCAACAGGATCGAAAGCTGAATCGAGGCAAAAATTCAAAGGTTAGCGTTTTTCCAAGAAACATGTAATTTGTCTTGAAACGCAATGTTTCATTTCATGTAAAGAAAAAGCGTGCCACAAACCGCATAATTCGCATTGAGTGGCAGTTCGCTTTTCTAAATAATTACTGAAACATTTCTTAAAATATATCCAAAAATTTTGCGCTTCCCAGATGATCTCCGCCAGCATTTCCCGGTTTTATATTGTTTATTTCTCATTTATTACATTATTTTTCCTAATTACCGTGTTCTATAATTGTTGCCTCTTTGATTTTCGGCTGTTTTTTTTGGTGTGCTCTGCGGTCATATCCATTTTGCATGAGTTGTTATTTTGGTGTTTGTGTGTCGCTCGGTGATTGCAAGGGTGTCATGAATGAATAAAGAATTTATTTTCAGCGGAAAAGAGATTTTTACTATGCAATTCAATTTCAAATGGCTCGCTCACTCTTTCACTCTCTCATTCTCGTTCTCTCTCTCTCTCCCTCTCTCTCTCTCACTCTCACTCTCTCTCTCTCTCTCTCTCTCTCTCTCTCTTTCTCACTCTCTTTCTCGCTCTGAGTCGCTCTCTCTCTCTCTCTCTCTCTCTCTCTCTCTCTCTGTCTCTCTCTCTCTATCTCTCTATCGCATTTTTGAAAAATATTTGTTTTTAAAGCTTTATTTTTTATTTTGCAGGTACAGTGGCGAGCTGTCTCTCCCCCTTTTAATTGATCATGATGCTGACTCGGGAATGGCGTTGCGACATCCGGGTGGCCACCGGGAGTGCCAAATCCGTGTTTTCGCCTAGAAAAATCGAAATTGGATTGAAATTGAAATATACTACATTTTCGCTTTAAGCCCCTTTGAAAGCATCTTTTTTGAAAAATTAAGCTTTAGTGAACGATAGTTTGGAATGGTGTTTAAACCTAGGGGCCATGGCATGAATAGCTTCGATAAAAGTTTCCCGGCTACATTTTTGGTTGAAACACAAATTTTTTAGCTATGACAACAATAAAAAATCATGAAGGACTTAGAATTTAAAAATGCCCACCACGGAATTGTCGCCACGATTCTCGGGCGTACGCACGCATATCCTGATTACAGGTGAAGTAGATGACCGGACTGGAAGAAAAATATAATTAAAGGATAGTTTGCCCTTAAGCGTTTACTGAGTACGCCCCTTCCAAAAGTATGTTTCCTGGCATAATTAATCAAATTTCATAATTTCCAAGTATGATATGGACATTGCTTGCATAGGCCTTGAGCGATCTTCCTATAGATGTGTTTTTGTAATTTTCGAAATTACGAAAATTCGAAATACGAAATTTTATTTATCTTTCATTTTACTTTTATATATTTAATGTATTCTTATTTTTATTTATTTATTTTATTTCTAGATGTTATTTATTTATTCCTAGATTTTATGTATTTAATTGCGTACCAGGGTTGAAAAGACGCTTCGCGACTTTTCAACCCTGGCCCCGTCTTATCCAATGAGAGTTCGCAATTTGCATAATTCTCGCGAACCGCAATGCCAAAAAATGAAAAATACGCCTCGGTCTCTTTATATAGGCTTTTCTCACTTCCGGCGCATGCTAATTGATTCATAACAAAACGGGTGACCGAAATTTTTACTAAAAACCTAATTTTAATATCGAAAATAGCACTTTTCCGGCGATTTGACATGTGTGCAGTGGTTCCGAGACCATTACGCATCTAATGACATATCAAACATGCTCTAAAATCCTTTCTCTATCGAGATACTACTGGAACATACTGACGGAAGTTACATGCAAAGTTAACACACACACAAATACACTATTTTTTTATATATAGTAGGATGGTGTTGAAACGACTACAGAGGCCTCATTAATTTTTGGTCTAATCAGCGTGGTACGTAATATTATGAAACACTAAAATTTAATTTTAAAAATTATTGGGGAATCATCGACGATTTTGAAAAAACAATACCTGACACAATTGTTCATAATCGAAATGATATTCTGCAGAAAGGTCAGGTAAAAAGTGCCCATCCCGGATACCGGAATCTTCGAGAACAACATAAATGACAGCGTCTGCAGCTCCAGAAATGCACAGATGATGCTGCCCTGAAGAAAATAATTTTTATTCATTAAATTTTTTCTTTTTATTTATTTTATCAATATTTTTATTTTAAATTTTCGATAAATCAGAACTAACTTTAAATTCAAAATTAGATAATTATCGTTCATAAATTTTGTCGGAAAACGGTGTCAACTAGCGTTGTGACTTGACTGCAAAGTTTTACAACGGAATGTTTCAAATAAAAGCTACAGCGAGTGGAACCAGTTCCAAAACAATTCGGCTCGTACGGTTAAAATTTAAAATTTAGAAAATTTAAATTCTTTAAGATAGAAAGCAAGCTAAAAAGATTGCAGGTTTCAGGATTGACCTTTTGGTCTTTGTCTTACATTTTTTACAAAAAAAGCAAAAATTTCGAAATTTTAGCCAAAATTCTAGCCATTTGAAATTTTCTAAAGGTTTTTGTACCGGAAGCTTGTGTAAATTTTTATAACAAGATTTATATTTTGTTATCGACTCCCCCCGCTAAGAGTACAGTACCATAACATCCATAATTTTGCCTCGTTCGATCCATTAACAATGGCAAGTTATATAGACCTACCTGTATAAGTAGGCTAAATTCCGCATGCCGTTTCCCAAAATTCGAATGTTCCACCGAATTCCCATGGACGATCCGCAGATATGCCCGTAAATAGAGGAATAACCCAAAATAAATCGAGAACATTCCGATCGGCAGCGCGATATTTTGGAAGCCGTTGAACTGAAAGACAAGTATCAGCATGGGGTCAACTGCCCATTAATAAATGCCATTCGACCCTAAAATGCTGATTTTTTGAAACATAAAATTTTGCGGAATTTTTTGACCTCAAGAAATACTGTATAGATTGCATTCATTGTATTTTTGCATTTATTACCTCATGTTTTTTTTTATAAAAACCCGGTCATTTTTTCTCAACTTGGCCGACTAAAAATTGTAAATAAAAATACTACAAGCACTGACAAAAAATTGTAATAAAAGTACCTTATAAAAAAATTTGGAAAAGTTGAAACATTTTTTCACTGCGCTATTTTTCAAAAGTGGATGGTCGAAAACCCGTAAAAGCCGTATTTAAATTTTATTTTGTTCAAAACATTTTTTCGCTAATTAATGTAATGGAATTTAATATAATTAATATAATATGAATTTATAAATATGATTAAAAATAATAAAAATTAAACCGAGTTTTTAACCAGATCTATTTTTTGTCTAGTTTATTAAAGTTTGGTTTTAATAAATCTTTAGAAAAAATTCATGCTCGAGAAACTCACATCCAGAATTGTCTGCCCAACACCCGGAATACATTTGTGAAAAAAGTAGAAGCCGTCCGTGGAGAAATTCTTGATGCATCCGAAGAATTGACGGGTGGTAGTATCGGTTAGACAATACAAGTAGGTGATCGCGATCAGGCTGGAAAAAAGAGTAGCTACAAAAAGTTTTAAGCCGAGGCAGCGAAGGGTTTTCCCCAATAGTTTTGCGATTGTTCTTCTTCAATTTCTTCTCTCTATCTTTTTTTTACACCCATAATTCGCCAATAAATTACAGGCTCGTAGGTAAATAAAGCAAACATTTTTGTAAAGATATGAAAAATTATGTTTCAGAAACTGATACCATATGGCTTCCGCTGTGTGTGTTAATGGGTCGCCGGTTGGTCTGAATTAAAAATGTTTCAAAAATTATATTCATTTAAATATATTTTGCTGCGACCGTCACTGCTAGGTTTCCCATAAAAAGTTCGTTTTCTAAGAAGCATTCCGATAAAATAATAAAATTCTCCTTAATTAAAATGCCATGTTAAACGAAGTTCAAAACCTTTTGAAATTGGATATACAAATTTTATGAGATTTTTATACCTAAAAACCGCGTTTAATACTGTAAAAATGAGTCATATATTTCCTTTAGCTAGCGATTTTGGTCAAAATCGGATTTTTAGTCGAAAAATCCAGATTTTTGTGTTTTTAATAAAATTTGTAAAGTTATCACGTTTAGAATGGTAAAAAGCGTTGCGAAACACTTTATTTATTTGCATTAGAAAAATTGGGTCCTTATAAAAATACCGAGAAAATTCCTTTTATAAACTTTTATAACTAATTTCTCCCCCCCCCCCCGCTAACAAACAAGCACCGTTTTAATTGGTGTGATGATATGAAATGAATTTTAATTAGTGCAAAAAGCCCACGAATTCATCGAATGGAACCTAAAACACGCTAGGAAAAAAGTAAGTTTCGATTTTTCAATTTTTGACCTTGGGCTGTCCCTGGTTAATCAACAGATCCAACACAGAGTTTTAAAAATATTTTTCCAATTAAGCTATTAAAATTATATATTACAGCCTATATTAAAGTTTCACTGTTGAAACACCCACCAAATAATGGCCCTCCTGCCGAAAAGGGCATCATTTATGGTATAGGACCAGAAAACGGTCAACCGATTGACGGCCATCCAAAATGTCAGCACCATCAACGAGTTGAAAATGACCGTGTCGATGAAGTTGGTCATGTTGTAGATCAACGGGATCCCCAGGTCGGCGTATACCTAAAAATTAAATTTTCAATTTTGTTATTGTTTTGTTAGTGCTTTTCAAAGAAATTGACAGGTACTGCATTTTTCCTCGAAATAGCGCGAAACTACAGCAAAATTGGGAAATTTAAGCAGATAATTTTGTGAAACATATGGTTTCAATCTATTTCTTTATTTTTGCGACGAAAGCGCCTCATATCGAGGTATATTTAATTGGACGATTTAAATGGTATTTTAAGTGCTGGTTTAGATAAAAATTAAAATATTTTTGTAAATATTATTTGATTAAGATACAGTACAATTCGATTTTTGCCAATTTTAGTATCAAAATGTGTTCTCGATTGTTGCGCGTTTTCCGGATTCAAACACCAGCGTGATGAAACATATATTTTTAACCAATTTTAAGTTGACCTGCTTAATTGCTTCTACTTTTCGAAGCATTTTTCGACAATAAATTACAACGTCGTGGATTAGATGTCGTTTAATATTTTCTTTAGATATATATAATTTAATATTGATTTTAATGAATTCAACCCGATTTAACGAAGGACTTGAAGTATGCTAACTAATTAACATAACGAAACAACGAACAATTACCGTACATTTCTTGCCGTAAGCGTCAACGGGACGGCGACGACAAGCTGTACAATCAGTGAAACCACATCACAAAACGTCATATGCAACGCCAGTGTGTAGAACGCGTTCCGCATCAGAATCCGGCGACGCTAAAATTATCGATGACTTAAGGTATAATTTGATTAAAGGTGGATAGGATTCGGCTTAAAGGATAGTTTGGGGGTGATGCTATCGTAGCTCGATTCATGCCAAAAGTTTATTTTCTTTTTAAAAATATGTGTCAATAATTTTTCTAGTCTTTTCCTTAGGAATCCAATACGATAGCTTTTGTTGTAGTCATAGATCAAATTAAAAAAAATTGATTTTCGTGAAATTCCTGAAACTTTTTCATAAAATTAAGTAAAACGGATAAAGAAGAGGAAAAGGAAAACTGGCGCGTATCGCGGTATTGCGTTTTACTTAATGAAAAAATCAATGTTTCATCAAAATAACGTTACCACCGGAAAAAATCAGCGATTTAATTAATTTCATCCGTGCTTGATGACTCCATAAATCCCATAAAAATTGGGTACCAGCCCTGCTTGTATTAATTTGAGCAAAATTATTTTAAAAATTTGTGCCGCCGATAGCTGAGGGTTTACATAGTTTAATGTGATAGTGTCTAACCGTATAACAATGCCGTGATCCTTGCAATAAACTGACAGCAAACTTGACCTGTTTTATTAACAAAATAAGAAAAAATAAGCAAAAACTCGCTCACTTCGTTCCGCGTTTTTGCGTTTCACCTAATTAAAAAACGGATGTTTCATCAAATAACCTAGCACAAAGAATTAATACTTGGTTAATTTTATCCAGCCATTTGCTTAGCTAATTTTCAGTCGATTCCAGCTACACAATTTCTTTTGCCAACATATGAAATGATTAAATGTTATTTTTAGAATAAAGAGATTACAAAAATTCCAAATAAAATGTAACAAAATCTAAATAAAAACTTGTTTTTCCCGTTAACGAATCGACGTTAACTTTTATCGGATTTTGGATTACAGTAATTTAATGAAACTATTTTCCTGACCTGCACAAAGAGGAAAATGACGATCGAGTGGGCGAAGAGGCCAATTAATGAGAGAATACAGTAGCTGATCCCGCACACGATACGGTACTCCACTCCGGCAACTAACGCCTCTTCCACCATCTTTTTATTTTGTATCTGAAAAATACTGATATTGTTCCTGTTCCGATTAAGGGCGATATTGTCAATCACGTTAGTAACAAAATAGAAACATACTTTTAAAAGCAAAAATTTTGAGATGCAATCCCAAGACGCAATTCACCTCTAATTCTGAGAGAATGAAAGCTGGAGTGTAAAGCAAATTTGAAACACGTTCTTTGGCACTTTTGTTTGTTTCAAAATTAAGTCCATGATACAAAAAAATGGTGCATTTAAAGCCGTTTGAAACCTTTTTAAAACCTTTTTAAAACTCCACAATTCTGTATTTTATGCAGGGCAGGGACAGACAATGCATTATTAATGCGATAGTAATGAAAAAATTCATCTAATGGTGTCGGAAAACCCCCTAAAAAAGTAGCGAAAATGTCAACAAAAAAAAATGTCAAAAAATGAAATTTATTTTGTATTACATTATTTTGAGCTAAAACTAAAACCATTACTAGTATATTTTTGGATGATCCAACTTCTTCAAAATTCCGGAAAAGGAGCGAAAATGCCGATAACTAGTCCTTCACCTCAATTTGCAAAGGTGGCTTTCGTGTTTTTTTGCTATACCTTTTTCGATGATACTATTTTGAGCTATCACTAAAGTACGTGGTATATTTTCTATGCTCTATCGGGTCGTGCCAAAATAAGTATGAAAAATGAAAATTCGAGACATTTTACCGTACAGAAAAACTCGCCAAAATCCAGACCCCGCCCAACCGCCTTCTCACACTACCACGCCCCGAAATCTTGGCGGTCTAAGGGCTAGGCAACGCGGCGCTCCTATCGACTCAAAAATGTATGGGGCTAAAACTTTGAAGGCTTATATCTTGAAAGATATGGCCGATCTTCAAAAACGCGAATTCCAGTCTTGTAGAAGGGAACCTGGCGATTCTAATGATACTAAGCACTAACAAAACCGAATTTATAAAGTATGCTAACGAAGGCGGTTTTGGTGGGCGACTTTGTGAAAAGTGGTATTTCGGAGGGCTAACCTGCTGTCTTTGGTATCATTCTAACCGTAAAATTTTACTCTGCAATAATTAATATTGGCTTTTCAATATTAAGTCGGTTTGGAAAGGTTATAAGAGTTTAAACCTTTTGACGCGCGCTACGCCCGGCTCCAATTGACGGTTTTGCCCCCTCCCGGCAAATTGCCGTTTTTGGCCAGTTTGATTGGCCGTGTATGAGACCAAAAGCAACCGAATCACTTTATCTGATCTGGGCCACTTTCGCCAGCTAGCTTGCCAGCTCGCCCGTACCAGCATTACTTTCAGGCCACTCGTACAGCTGGAAGCCGCCAAAAGCGCCGTCCTATCCAGGTTTGTATTCAGGCCCGTAGCGGAACCGAAATTTCGGGGGGGGGGGGGGCTAAAAATTTTGGCGACCTCCCTCCGACCTCCGACCGCTTTCTCAAAATACGGTAAGCTTGGGCGATTTTTAGAGAACGCCTGTCCTAAAATAACGAGCTAAAAACTGGCCTGGATTGATTTCCGCACATTACCGTCATAATGCAATTGCGAGAAATGAACTGGTAGAAAGAAAATGCCTTCAAAACTTCACCCCGGCCAACCAGGATTTCTGAAACATCAAGTCGCAAGCCGGAAAACAGCTGGCTCAAACTACGGTAAATTTGGGTGATTTTCAGGATCGACCGGCCCCAAAATCAGGATCCAAAAATGGCTTTGGATTCGAAGTCAGCACATTACCGTCACAATTGAATTCGAAAAAAAATTGGTTCCAAGAAACAACGAATGCTCTACCCTGATTTCTGAAACATGAAAAGCCCTCAAACTACGGTCAGTTGGGGTGATTTTTAGAATCGGCTAGCCCATAATTACGCGCCATAAACCTGAGATTAATTCCCGGCCCTGCACCGGGGGCTAAACCTGGAGCCGGAAATTGGCAATTGGCAATTTGGCGCGTTATTTCCTCGGGGGAGGCGGGGTGGATATTAGTTGGTGGGGGGCCCAAAAATGAAACATTTAGCCGCGTTGTGAAAAATAGGAAATGATGTTTCGGACGTGTATGAGGTAAAAATAATATTTTCATGATGAATTCAGCTTGGCTTAGTAATAGTAGTAGTAATACAATAATATAATAATAGTAATAATATCAACTATAATAATGGCTAATAATATTTATACAATAAAGTAAAACCGGCCGTTTTGGTCGAAAAATCGATAATTTTTTTTGTATTTTTAAAAATGAAAACGGTAACGTTTTGATTTTCAAGAATAGCAAAAGAACAAAAGATTTATTGAAGGCTAGGCAATAGGGAAAGGATAGCATCAAAGTAATGGCAATAGTATATAAATTATAAATTTCACGCCTAAAGATCAAAGTAATTTTTGAAAAGCAGCTCCTCATTAATAGCATCGGTCTTTGTAAGTAACTTTGGCGTCAGCGGCTGCGTTGCGTGTCGCGCCTTCAGCCCAAATGCTTGGCAATCCGGCAAGATACTTCCTAACAGAATACCGTAATTTCAACAATGATGTCTGAAAGTTTGAAAGCTGGCATTTCCGCCAAAATACTGGCTGTTGACTTTGGCTGCTATAGCCGGCGTGCGAGCAGGTGAATTATCAAGAGGAAAGGCCACTTTAGCCAGCGGAAATTCATGCTTATGCGGTCTAAAATAGGAGACATTATCAAATTAAATTATAGCGCTATCAAAAAATCCTCAAACGGAGATTCCTGCAAAATTCGGCACCAATAACGAGTCCTAAAAGGCGACGTTTTTTTGTGTGAATGGAGTTTTGAGTCAAAACTATGCCTATCTTGTGCAGAATTTTGCGATGATTCCGAATATGTGTTCCATTTTTGCTAAACAGCTCGCTTTGAAAAGTTATAGCTGTTTTAAGCTCATTTTGGCCCAAAGTTCCCATTGGATCGATTTTCCCAGCTGATTTTCAAAAATTGAATATCGCCATCGTATTCAAAAAAATGTTCTCTATCAAATGAGCTCCTTATCTCAAAATTGTTGAAAATCGAAAAATCGATTGGTATGGGCTTCGTTTTTTGTCTGGGAAATGCTGGAAAACGGCCTATTGCACTTGCCGATAAGCGGTCGTCTAGATCTCGTAACGCATTAATAAAATCCACCATTCTAATCAGAATAAAATTTTCTTTCAGATAGGCTACTTACAATAAATGGTTACATTAAAACAAAAAAGTAGCACATCCTTGCATACGGCTACTCCTGGGGCTAAAATTACCTGAAAAATGCTGGAAGTTTTGAGCTATTTAGCAAAAATGGAACACCTATTCGGAATCAGGGCAAAATTCTGCACGAAATAGGCCTGGTTTCAACTAAAAACTCCATTCACGCCAAAAAAAGTCTCCCTGTTAGCGTAGCTCAATGAGGTAGAAAACACATGTTTCAAACTTCCCTAAAACGCGAATGCCAGGTCAGTCGGGATAGTTTTGTCGCATGACAAGCGCCGGGGATTATTACCTGGGAATTTGTCAAGTACCACGTAAAAGGTGGTGATCAGCTGGGCAGCTTTCCGTTTCGAAAGCGGAAACCTCCAGAAAAACAAGAATATTTCCCGAGGCAATTATCCCATTTTCCGGCTGGGCGATCAGCGGCTAGGAGGGTGGCCCGGGGTGCATCAAGCCGAAGATGTTCAACATATTTGCGCTCAATCAATGCTTCATTTGAGCTGCTTTCAAGAGAAAACTTCTACTACAGGGTGCGGCATAAAAAAGTGAAGTTTGCGTCAAAATATCTCGCGAACGGGTATGAAGAAATAACACAAGCTGTTTTTTTAAGATTTTCGACTACCAGTGGGTCGTTAAAAAGTTTTGAGCATTTTGGAAAAAGTAGAAAACTTTGAAGACGAAAAAAATGGAACCTTTTATGAGTTAGGGCGACATGTATCAAAATGAAGCTCTCGGAGTGCGCAATCAAAATAGCGCTAAAGATTATCGATCGAGCTGTCACTCGTCGCTGAATGTTGTAAAACGGTATCCAATTTATACGATAGCAACACAAAAAGCGGGTTTTTTTGCTATTTTGGAGCTATTGATGTTGGGGGGGGGGGGGCATCTTTTTTTTCTGGTTTTTTTTCAGACCTAAGCTTGTCTCCAAGTCTAAGCTAACCAAGCCAAGCCCAGCCTAAGCATAACCTAAGCCAAGCTTAGGCTTAAGCCCAATCCTAAGCTAAGTCTAGAGCAAGCCTAAGCTAGGGCTGGGCCAAGCCTAAGCTAGGCCTATACTAAGCCTATGCTAAGCCTAAGCTAAGCCAAAACCAAGCCTAAGCTAAGACTAAGCTTAAGCCTAAGCTAAGCCTAGGCTTAAGCTAAGTATAAGCCAAGCGTACGCGAAGTTAAAACTAAGCCTAAGCCTAAGACTGGGCGCCAAAAAAAAGATGCCCCCCCCCCCCAACATCAATAGCTCCTCTATTTTTTTTGCCTTATAGAATATCTCTCTTCTTTGCATATACGACTTTTGAATTTAGGATTCGGCACGCGGACTGCATACGTTTACAGCTACATAATGAGCACATTTGCGCCCATCGCACTCCATCTTCTCTTCTCGACTCGTAGATGGCCAGCGGCGGAGGAGCGACGAAGGCGACGCCGAGGGGTGGACACCACAAAAGGGGCTCCGTCGACGATCCGGGTCTGGACCCTGGGCAGAGCTGCAAGAGCTTCAAACAGAGTGTCAGAGGTGCGTTTATTTTTTGCTAATGTCTAATTTCTCAAAATGTTCGCCATGGTCGAAACCTCATGTCCAAGTTGTTTCCCTACGTCTAAAATGGCCAGGAGATTTTTTCCAACGATTCTAGATCTGGGGTTCTTTTCATTAATTTTTGCTCGTCTAAAGCTAGTTTTTTTTTGTATCTCGGCCCGCCTTGGACTTACAGAGCTGGTGGCAAGGGTAGCAAAATGTAGCCCTTGTTCTGTAGAATATGCCGATTCACGCCTGACAAGGAGATGGTCTCAACTGGGAATCGAATTCGGATTTGAAAATTTGCACACTTATAGAGCTCGACGAGACAAATCGATTGGTGTAACTTTCAGCTGCTGATACAATAACCACGCCGAGTTATAAGCATTTTAAGTTTTTGCGTACATTTTGCGTTTTTTCGGCCATAGCTTCATAGGCCTTCCCCGCCTCGCCATCACCATGGTCTGGTGGCCTAGTGGTGTAGTAGGCGGCCTCCGGGGAATCTAACGAGGGTTCGAACCCGCTCACGATTTTTATTTTTTTTGCTTTTTTGTCCGATTGTTCCTCTTTGCTTTCTGAAGACCTTGAATAGATTTTTACGCATTATTTTAATTCCTCTGGTGCGAAATGGCTAAAAAACATCTCTGAAAAAAATTTAGATTTTTTACCCGAAAGGACTATGCCGGTCCCAAAATAAATTGAAAATTCAAAGCATATCAAAAATCGTGGAGTAAACGTAATTTTGGTAAATAGTGTGTTATCCGAACAAAAACTTTCATCCGCGAAAATTTTTTGGAAATGGTCGTCATGGGTCGGACAAGGGCTCGATGCCCAGCAAGAAAAATTTTTGCGGTGAAGTTCGATGTTGTCGGCGCATCAAAGGAGTTAAAATAATGCGTAAAAATCTATTCAAGGTCTTCAGAAAGCAAAGAGGAACCATCGGACAAAAAAGCAAAAAATAAAAATCGTGAGCGGGTTCGAACCCTCGTTAGATTCCCCGGAGGCCGTCTACTACACCACTAGGCCACCAGACCATGGTGATGGCGAGGCGGGGAAGGCCTATGAAGCTATGGCCCAAAAAAACGCAAAATGTATGCAAAAACTTAAAATGCTTATAACTCGGCGCGGTTATTGTATCAGCAGCTGAAAGTTACACCAATCGATTTGTCTCGTCGAGCTCTATAAGTGTGCAAATTTTCAAATCCGAATTCGATTCCCAGTTGAGACCATCTCCTTGTGAGCCGAAAAAATCTCGAAAACATAAAATATTCGGGTTAGAAACAGCGGCTAAACGAGAGCCTCGCGACTGAATCTTGAATCTTCTCAACTTTTAAAAATGTCGTAAAACGTTTTACAGCCATTTTTTAACGCCTGAAAACAACTTGGCTATCGAAGTTCGACCATGGCGAGCATTTTGATGTTTTTGCGCATTAGTGGCAACTAGGAACAACGACTTCCAACTTTTTCTTTCGAACTTTTTCGGCCCAAGCCTAAATTTTGTTCATCAATCGCAGATGCGTTTCTACGTTGTTTTTAACAATGCCTAAGCATAAAAAGGTTACAAATTTTCATTAAAAATTTTAAGTTAGGCCAGAAAATTGATGTTTTCGACCCGAAACGACCAATTTTTCTGCTTTAAATGTGGTTAAAATGTATGAAAGACAATGACACTTTCTATTTAAGGCCTTCTATTTTCCACTTTCAAATGTAAAGACTTACCCGAACAATTTCTAAAATTATCGGTTTAGAAGCGAAGAAAGCGTCGACACCCCGCGTCAAGCCGAGCACGAAGACCGCCGAAGACGACAACAAGGAGGACGGCACTCAGAGGCAAAGGGCCGCCAAAGCCAAGGTATCAACACGGATTTGGCTGTATACACTCCGTTAAGACCAGCAGCACCACTGCAGCCGGCACTCCGACCCTGTCAAAGGACAACAAAGCCAAAGCCGCGCAAGCAAAGAAGGCGAACGTCGCCAAGTTCACGCCCGAACAGGACGCGGTCGCCGCCAAGTTCTGCAACTTCCTCAATACGACGTCGGCCGAGCAGATTCTCGGTGAATTCGAGTCGCTGCAGAGGTACGAGCCGAGCAAAGTCGACGCGGATGCATGCAAAAAGAATGGCGACAAGAATAGATACGGGGTAGCTTTCTTTTCCTTTCTTTTTTTTATGCGATCTAGGACGTTAACTGCTATGATGCGACCCGCGTTGTGCTGAAGACTGATTTCGGGAACTACACAGCGGCCGACGGCGACTACATCCACGCCAACTGGATCTCCTATGATTGTGTGTTTCATTTTGCTCACTAAAACGTGGCCTTTTCTAGACATGGAGCGCAAATTCATCGCTACCCAGGGCCCGAAAGACAACACCATCGAAGATTTTTGGCGTATGGTCTTTCAGGTACATTTCTTACAGCTTCTCGGCTCGGCGTTGCGCTACAGGGCTGTAAGGTATACCAAAAGACGCGCCAGACAACGGCGAACATTTTGGGACATTTTACACACCTGTAGGCCAATGGGGAACCGAGATACAAAAGTTGGGAGTCGGCTGGAGGTATCTGAAACCTTATCTTTCTATCTTTTGCTATTTGTTAACTTTCACATAACAAACAAAACCACAAGCTACATTCATTTTCTTACTTAGTTACAGTTTCCCTTTCAGGAAAACGTGGCGGCCATCATCTCGGTGTGCAAATTTGTCGAAGAAGGCCAGTCCAAATGCGCCGAATATTTCCCGGCGAAGGCGGGCGACTTCAAGAACTACGGCAAGATGTTCGTCAATAACAAGAAGGTCGACGACATCGTGCACACGCTGGAAGTGTTGCCCGACGGCTGCTCGAATTCCATCATCACCAAGCTGATCTTCTGCACCGAATGGCCCGACAAGGGAATGCCGTCGAAGGGCGGGATCCCGCTAAAGCTGCGCCGCCTCACCAGGGTGATTTTTAACGTACTATAAATAAAGAGCGTGTCCGTGTGTGTGTGCGGATGCTTCTTTTGAAAAAGAAGAATACTTCTAGGATTATCTTTGGCAATTTTTAGGGCGAACAAACAAGTTTCGGTTAGCTTTTGGAGACCATTAGCAAGTGTCGTACGGTTTGCTCGGCTGCATTTGCCAAGTAAACTTGGTATAATGATTATCAATGAGTTAAAATAGGTAGTAATACAGCGTATTTAGTAATCTAAGGTATTAAAGCATATTTTTCAGTGAAAATTAGCGGTTTTGGCTTGCAAAATGCTTATAATTATGTGCATTTGGCTAGTCTAGGACCCCCCCCTCCCGCCACTTTTCGGCCATACATCCTATTAAAGGGCTAGTTCAGCCAATAAAACAAAAGAATTTCCGCGGCCAGGAGTCGAACCCTCTCTGCGTTTTTGTGTCTGCGCCTCTCTCATTTCCCCGATCTCTAATAGCTGTCGTAATGGGGGACTGTTCGGGCGCACTGTGCCTACGTCCATAGTTTGCCAAGGTACCAGCCCAAGCTCTAAAAGTTGAACTAGCCCTTTAATGTCCTATTAATTCTGTCCTATTAATGCGCCGAGTATCTCAAAGTTCTCGCCGTGGTCGAATTACTATAAAAAGTTGTTTCCTGACGCCAAAAATTGCTAGAAGGTTGATATGACAATTATAAGTTTGGGTTTTTTAATTAATTTTTCCTGGTCCAAAGTGAGTTTTCGTATCTCGGCTCCCTTTAGACCTACAGAGCTGTGAATGGTACCAAAATGTAGCTCTTGCTCTGGAGAATCAGCCTAAAGTGCCCTTGAATCGAAAAAATAGCGAGAAAGAAAATGTTTGAGTTTAAGACCCGCAGTCCATTGAAGCATGGCGACCTAATCTTTTCGCATTTTAAAATCTTGTCAAAAGTATTCTAGCAATTTTTGACGTCAGGAAACAACCTTTTTATAGCAATTCGACCACGGCGAGAATTTTGAGATACTTCACGCATTAATAGGACGTATGGATGAAAAGTTGGGACTGGGGGGGGGGTTCCTAGATTCTTACCCAAATACCTTTTAAAGTTTTAATTTATTTCATTTTATTCAGGAAGCGGGCATGGGAACTGTGGTCGTCCACTGCTCGGCGGGCATCGGTCGCACCGGCACGTACATCGCCATCGAGATGGCCATCCAGAAGTTGTTGAAGGGCAAGGAGGTGTCGGTACGTGGCTTCTTTTTGACGAAAAAGTTACGTTTTGTTTCAGATTGTCGAAATCTTCAAGGATTTGCGCAACTGCCGGGCCTCTTCCGTCCAAAACACTGCCCAGTACCTGTACATCTACAGCTCCGTCCTCGAATTTATTCTCGTGCGTTTTCCAGGTTCTTTCGCATTTCCGGGGACCATTTTTTTTTCTTTGGATCTAATTTTTGAAATCTGAATCGTGGCAGTGTTTCTAAATGGAGTTTTTTTTATTATTCCTAGAGGTGAAAACTTTATAACTTTGTATAAAAAAACATCAAAAATATAGGTTTTACGACGAAAATGTCAAGTTTTTCAAAATTTTTTAGAGTTTTTGGATAGTTTTTCTGGCTTAAATAGTTATTTTTTTGATAAAACACTATTCAAACGCTGTCTGTTAACTTCCTAGGCATTAAACAAGAAAGTTCAGCCCCCCCACCCCGGAAATGCGAAAGAACCGTCTTTCAATTCAAGCTTTTCTAACCCAATTTTGATTTAGACGCGCAACATCACCCACAAGCCGACGCAGAAGAAGTTCCTCGACGAGCTGGCCGAGGTCATGCAGTAGCCGCCGCCGTCTCGTCACTACTAACCCCCGTCCATATTAAAAATTTCTCGTCTATGCATTCTATTGAATTTTAAAGTCTATGTACGTCAATAAATGGTCACTTGCGATTGTCTGGATCAATTATCTGGAACTGCTGGGGTAATATTCTCGTGGCGTTATATTCGACTTAACAATTTGTATAATTCGATCATTCAAGCAAATTTTTAAAGTTCCAGGTACCTCATAGATTGTTTATTAAAGAGCGAAACCAGGTGTAAGGTTTCGTAGTTTGTAGTTTAGCGTATTATAACATCCAATAGACTAATTAACAATGATTGTTAATGTTTATGGTATTAATTTTATCGCCGTAATACGTTACGTATACATACGTATACGTTATTAACGCGATATACGACAGATAGCTTTAGTTCCTTCTAATTTCGGTTTCATAGATATGCTGCTGTAGCTACGAAAGTGCAATAAGTAGTTTTAGCGAGTCTTTTTATAGTTTTTTTTTTAGCTTTTACAGCTTTTTCGAGAGCTCTAAAGCTCGAGGCATACCCACAGCAAATTTCGGAACATTTCCAGCAACTTTGCTTTTTCAAAAGTGGGATTAGCCATTGCCTGGACGCGAAAAACTGATGTTGCACATCCAGGGGCGTAGCCAGAAAAAAATTTCGGGGGGGGCCCCCAAAAATTTTTTCCAAAAAACTCAAAACATTAACGAGAAAACAGCGCCGCAGGCGAAAAATTTTGGAAAAGGGTTACATAGCTCTACAAATAGCCGTAAAAAAAGTGAAAAAAAAGCGCCGCAGGCAGGAAAATTTTTGAGAAAATGAAAATCATAAGGGTCCCCCCTTATGAAATTTTCGGGCCCCGGCCGATTTCGGGGGCCCGGGCCCCCGGGGCCGGTATTACGCTACGTCCCTGTGCACATCACATGTTGGGGATACACACACCATCTTGGGGTTGATGCCGACCAGACAACCCTTCTAGCCGCTGATCGCCCGGCCGGAAAATGGGATAACTGCCCTGCGAAAATTCTTGTTTTCCACAGATTTCGCCTTTTCGGTTCCAAGCAATGTTCCGGGCTTTTTGAGCTGATGCCCAGCTGATCGCCATCTTTTACGTGGTAATTGACAAATTCCCAGGCAAAACACCCCGGCGCTTGTCATGGGACGAAAATATCTCGATGAACTCAGAGGTTGGGGGCTTTAGAAAGCAAAAAAATTGACTAAAAACTCATATTTATCAAAGCTTTTGACTACACTTTGATAGGTTCTTCATTTAGATAGCGAATACTTCTGTCAGGAACCTTGCGCTACGCATCGAGGGCGCGTCCAAGTCTATTGGAATGGTCTTTGGAATGCTTTCGCATTATCGCGGGAATCGGGATGGATTTGACACCATTCGAAAACTCTTGAAACGGCGAGAAAACAAGTCCTTTTCGTTTTATAAAATTTTTTAGCCAGCGCTCGGTATACACCGATCCCTTAAAAAAAAGCATGAAATCAGCGTCGTCCTGTTTGCTTTAGCAAGCAATTAACATGCTGAAAAAAAATAAAATAAAATCGGCAGTTTTCATGGATTTTGGTCGTAAATTTAGTGAATTAAAGTGACTCGATTGAAAAAACGAAAAGTTATTGTCTTTTCGCTTTTTCGAGAACTTGCTCGATCGATACCTAAATCGCCACAATCGGAAATGAGTGTGGTCCGCTAGAGGACGGTCGATTTTTTGGGCTTCCCGTAGTTAGAAGTTTCATAGCGGGGCGTCCAGGTGGTAGTTTCAAAGAACCACAAATTTTTAGTACATTATTATATGTATAAAAATTAAAAAATAAAGTATAGGCCACAAAGTACGTTTTAGGAAATGTGAAAGTTTTACAAAAAAGTGTGTTTCTTGAAAAGAATGCTGCCAGTCAGCGCATAGCTAGATAATCTCTTGCTTTCATAGTTTCGACGCCTTTATCTGTAATTTTTCTAAAATTTGGCCACAAAATAGCTTTATTTGTACACGGCTTATAGATATAAAATAATTGCTCAAAAATAATACAACGGCTGGAAAATACATGTCGAAAATTGGCACTTGTACAAAGCCACGAATTTGAAACACGTGATGGGATCGAAAATTTGTTTTTTTAGGATTTTCTAGTATTTTTTTAATGAAATAGGAATTTCTGTGTGTAATTTTTCTATCGTAGCGCAGAATTGGGTTATGAAAATGATAGAAAAATCCACGAGTAAATTTAGGTCCGGGGAAGGCACAACCAAAACCGTACGCTTGAGGAGATGCCGGAAGAAAAATTATGGGCGAAAAAGCGTTACTAAGAATGCCGATAAATGGTTTTTCGGATTTTATGGAATGGTGAAACACACAATTTTTTCGTCGAATAGATCATCGGTTCTTTGGCATTATCGGGGGGAGGTGAATTTTTTTATAGATCTCAAAATACCGATTAGCGTGATAGCAAGTATCTTTTTAGTTCTTTTAGTATAAGTTAGCTATATTTTAACTGAAAAAAACCGCTTTAGCAAGCTTTAAAAACTTCTTAAAGCAGATTTTTGGTCAAAAAATCGACATTTTTTGTAGTTTTGAGGTCAAATTTGCATTTTTTCCTTTCAAAGAAAGTAAAAAAGTTTAGAAACACTTACTTAATTTTATTAGGAGCATTGGAAACTAAAGAAAAATCCCCCCCGATAATGCCAAAGAACTAGATCATCGATTTTTGTTTTTTGAAAACAAAAAAAGGCCTAATCTTTGGGGAAACAGCTGCGCTCGGCGCGTTCGATTTGCTGGATGAGTTGCGCCAATTTCCGGCGAATCTTCTTCTGATCGTCGGCGGTGCATTCGATTATCTGACAGGTATCGCACTGTATTTTAATATTGAAAAATTAGTAATTTTAAATTAATTAATTTGATTAATTAATTTATTTTTTCAATTTTAAATTAATTAATTTAATTGATTATTTAATTAAATCAGTAATTTTTAGAGTTGTAATCCAAATTAAGATTCGTTTTTAGGAGGTACTGGATTATTTTCGGGGGGATCTAGAAATGGGTAACCATTTTTTATTTCCCCGCCTCAACCTGTTAATAATAAAAATGTATTTTTATAAGGTTTTTTTAGTAGTTTTTGATGGCTTGGAAAGTTACCAAAAAAACGATATTTTCGATTTGAGATTTTGGGCAATTTTTATACATTTTTGACGGAAAAATCGGCAATATGCGAATTGTTTTCAGTTTTTTATGCTTGCCTATATGCAAAATGTTGTAAAGTGCTGTAAGAATCGGGATATTTCGCTATAGGGCCGTACGGGATTATTTGGGGGAAAATGTCCATCCCCCCGCTAACAGTCCAGTACAGGAAAAAATGTGTTTCAATTTAAATAGGTATCTGGCAAGTTTTGTCAGGCTTTAATACAAGGAATGGTTTTGTATGAAAATGTGCTAAAATATTTCATGCAAAAACTATCGACCAAATAGCCTCCATTTTTAATAATAAAAAACGACATCAAAACGCGTCAAAATTAGAAAAAATCGGAAAGTCCGAATCTCCGAAAATCCTAAACACATACCTGCGCTTGGAAACGCTGATCGATTGGGCCCTCCGGTTGATCCGGACTGCACGCGTTCAGGTAGCGGCGGCACGTCTAAAGAAGTTCAATAAAAATAAAAATAAAAAAACGTTTTATTTATTGTTTGTTTAAACTTCGACGCAACGCTTTTTTATAGATAAGCTTTCAGCTGACTTGGATTCAAATTTGATTGCCCTAACTTTATTCGAGATTCGCAATTCGAAATAATTTTATTTGTGTTTTAACTTGTTCAAATTAAACATTATTACTTGCATTAATAGTGAAATTCGCTGAAAATAAAAATGTTTCGTAAAAAATGTGATTAAACCGAAGGCGAATGGTTACAATGCGTGTAGTCAATGCGTGTAGTTGAACCAACATGCTTAGTAAGCAATTGCTTACCAATTCATTAACAAAAAATTGTGGTTTCTTTCGCATTATCGGGGGTATCTATATTTTATTTTTTCTAAGGAAACAATTAGTCTGATATAAATTGGGAAAGTGTTTCTAATTTTTTTTTGTTTTTCTCCGCTTTAAAACTGGCAGATTTTGATTTTGATTTTTAATTGTTTTCCCACTCGAAATATATTCGGATTGTATTAAAAAACACTGTTACAATACTTACAGAAAAAATTCGGGGCCCCGCTAATGCGAAAATGCCTAATTGCTTTTCCCAAACGATCTTTCTCGTTGCCGATTTAATCTGCAAAACCTACCTCTGCGCCATCGCTCAAATCCTGCTCCAATTTGCCCATGACGCTGTCGATGAGGGAATTCACCGACTCGAGTGCTTTCGCCTGTTCCGAGTTGCGCGGCGTGTTTACCAGAATCTGCAAAAATCATGGTTTTTGGCAGCCGGCTTTTTCAAAAAAAAAATGATTCAACCATTTATGGTTAGACGGCATTTATCCTCCGGTCTGTTATAAGATTGGTGAGACAACGTAATAATGCAACACACTTTTCTGATTTCACAACTGGTAGTAGAGTGTTTTCAACGATCCTTTTTAGTTTTTTCATTTTGTTAAGTACTAAAATCTAAAAATAATTCTTCTTCATAAATTTGGGGCTTAGAATGTTCTTTTGACAAAAGCATGTTTCAAACCATTCCCAGGAAGTTTTGAAAATTTTCAATCTAGTGTCTATCTCTCTCATATCAGAAAAATAGTTTAACTTTTAATTTTCTCGGGTCTTTTGCATTATCGGGGGAGGCGAAACGATTTTTTAATATGCCCAGAACTGCCTTTACAAGTAATACCAAGTGGTTTAATAGTGTTTATACTAAAATTTAACCATCGTTCAAGTGGAAAAATATGAAAAAACGTGTCAATTTGTGTAAAAGCTCTCTAATGAATTTTCTAAAAATCTGATTAGAAATAACTGCATTTCCTGATTAAATTTTGTAAAATCTTTGCGTTTGGAAACAGTAAAAAAGGGTCGAAACACTTTCTCTATTTAACTTGGAAAATTAGATACTGAATAAAAAAAGTCCCCCCCCGATAATGCCAAAGGGCCATTTTCTCGAAAAAATAGGTTTAAACCTACGTCAACGGTCCGCGTGCGGGCTTTCAGCCGATTTGTGATGGCCTCGATATCTTCACGTTCCCCTGAAAAAAATGTGTTTTTCAACAATTAAAAAAAAATGAATATTCTGATGGTTATAGTATGAATTTAAAATCTAACTTCACTTTTTGGTTTATTTTTAAGGTAATCAGTGTAGAATTTACCGGACTAGCTGGTAAAAATTATACCTTCTCCCAACTTCAACAACTCCGTCTTCAAATTCACATTTTGAAGCATATCCAAAATTGTTTCCTTTTCCGCTTCGAGCTGGGCGGCTGTTTCCCTGAAAATTAATTTTGAAGAGAAATCGATATCTTAAACTTTAATTAAACTTATCTAAAGTGTATTTTTAAATTCAAAATTTTTAATTTTCAATTTAAAAAATGTTAGAATGAATTTTTTAAGATAAATAGAAACAGAATAAACCCTTGCGATTTAAATCCACAATTTCAAAAAAGGCTGTATTTAAATCGATCGTGGATTTCACAGCATCATTGGATTTTTTGAAAAAAATATGTTGCTGGATTCGCTAGGCCAAGTAAAAAAATTAATTCGCTACTAAATGATTGATTGCTGCGGGATTTAATTTTATTTTTTAGTTAGCGCCATTTAAATTCAATTTAACTATAACCTAAATCTCTAAAAATCTAATTTAACAAAATTCTGTTTAATATTGTTACACTCGAAGAACTGACCTGAACTGCTCGACCCGGCGCTCCACATCGTCCAGCATGTTCACCAGCTGCTCGTTGAAATCTTCGACCGAGATCTTTCTAAAAAATGGTGAACGAATTGCTCGGTCCAAATATCGATTTTAGAGTCAATTTTTTGAAACATTTTTTTGTTTTGAACTTATATATATCGTTGAATTTAATTAAACTTCTGAGAAGTTGCTGCGGAAGAATAAACAAATTAGAATTACAACAATTATAAAATTAATTTGGTGCTTAACAGCTTTTCCTTGCTTTTGCCGTAGCTTTTGATTTTACATTATTTTTGGCTGGAATGAAAATCGTTAATATATTTCCGTGACGCTTTGTTGAACGGATATGGAAAAATAGCCAAAATGCAGAAAACTCGCGCTTGAAAGAATTTTTTGAACTTTTAAAATTTTTTTTATTTGGGGCTGGAAGCAAGACTTTTGATTGAATTGTCGATTTTTCTATCACAGACGTCGAAACATTCGCATTTCTCCAGCTCTCTCTCACTTATTCTCTCTCTCTCTCTCTCTCTCTCTCTCTCTCTCTCTCTCTCTCTCTTTCGCTCTCTTTTTTCTTTCTCTCGCTGTCGCTCTCTCCCCCTCTGTCTCTCTCCCTCTGTCTCTCTCTATCTCTCGCTCTCTATTACTCTCTCTCTCTCTCTCTCTCTCTCTCTCTCTCTCTCTCTCTCCCTCTTTAATCTACCTTTGCATGGGTGCCCTCTCAGCCTTAACAGTCTTTGGTTGATCAGGTACAGGTTGTGGTGGGGGTGGAGTATATGGCTTCTCGATTATCGGCTTTTCGATCTGCACGGGTTGCGGCTGAAAATCAGAGAATCAGACATGTTTTAGGAAAAAAAATATTTTGAGCGTTCCACATGCATTGAAGCTGGAATTAGCACACTACATCTTCACGAAACTACCAAATTTGTTGAAACATTTTCTTGTGGCCCACTTTTTTGTTGGTACTCGGAATTTTTAAGTAAAACCGTACCCCGCTAATGAACTAGAACTAAATTAATTATCAAGAGAAAACGTCCTAGAAACTGTATTAAATCTTGTAAATTCGAGTTAGATAGAATATCCGTCATTTTTATCGGAAAATCGATATTTTTGTATATATTTTTGGCTACGGTTTACTTTACCCCCCCCCCCCCAGACGGAAGTTTTTGGCTATAAATTTTTTATTTTCAATTATTATAGGCTCAAATTAAAACTCTTTGTATATTTTTCGACGCTCTATCGAATGGCGTTGCAAAAATCCCGACAAAATGAGCGAAAATACCGACAACTTTGAGACCCTTCGGCTGTGGGGGGGGGGGGGGGGGTAAAGTAAACTCTTACCAAATATTTTTTTAAATGTGAAAAGTTTTTGCGTTAAGGTTGATTTATTTAGATCATTTTTGTTGACGAGAAAATTGGATACCAAAGGAAAGTTATAGTTCTAAGTTTAAAAATTACCTGCGGACTCGGCTGCCGCTGCGGGGTGGGCGGTCGATGCAAATTGTGATGTTGCTGTTGTTGTTGGGATTGTGTGGGGATATTATGATGTTGCTGATGGAATTGATGGGATGGCATTTGGCGGGGAAGCGAATCGAACTTTCGGCTAGGAGATGGCGAGACGGAGGCCCGGCCGTCCCTCGGTGCCGACAGGTTGCTGTTGGATCTGGAATGAAACATGGTTTTTGGCTACTTAATTAAATACGTCTATAGGCTTTTCCTAAAAACATTTTTGCATTGATTTTAAACATTTAGAGATTTAAAATAAGCTCAAAGGTGAAAAAAGAAAAATTTAGAGGACGTTTAACCCAAACAGCCAAAAAAATTTGTTTCAGAGAAATACCTATTTACGCGCACCTCACTCATCTTTAATGGACCGTTGCCCAAGGTATTTTATGACCGCGCAAAAAAGTTTTTTATATTGGTTCGCATTTGAAAATTGTCACTAAGGTTTTTGGTTCTTTGGCGTTATCGGGGGGGGGGGGTGAGGGAGGGGCAATCCATATTCATATAAGGTTTAATTTAATAAGGCATGAGGTTTTAATAGTGTTTTTTGTAAAATTGCGCTACTTTTCAAGAGGATAAAAAAATAGAAAAACTTCAATGAATTGTTTTAGTGGTAATTTTTCGGTAAGAGTTTACTTTACCCCCCACAGCCGAAGGGTCTCAAAATTGTCGGTATTTTCGCTTATTTTGTCGGGATTTTCGCAACGCCATTCGATAGAGCGTCGAAAAATATACTAAGAGTTCTAATTTGAGCCTACAAAAATGTAAAATAAAAAAGTTATAGCCAAAAACGTCCGGCTGGGGGGGGTAAAGTAAACCGTAGCCAATTTTTCTAATCAAAAATCAATGTGGGCTGTAGAAAAAAAAATGTTGCAGTGAGATAGCGTTAAAACGAGCAATTACTTGAAGAGCTATTTTACAGCAGGTTTATGCTAGTCAATTGCTGACGATTTTTGAACATAAAATTTTGGTTCTTTCGCATTTTCGGGGGGTGAGAGTATTTTTCGATTGAAATCTAATTATATTTTTAATGCAAAATCACTTAAAAGCTTAGAAATTTGGCAACTTTTGAAATTTTTGTAAAAAAATGGTATTTTTCATCGAAAAATGTATATTTTTTAATTTGTTAGCAAAAGCTCCCCCGATAATGCACAAGCTCCAATTATTTATAAATTACAGGATAGAAAAGTGATTTTTGGGGGTGTACAGGCAACACGAGTTAGTATTGGTATTTCGCGGGGCGTCTCCCCCACCCAAAATTCCCCGCCTTTTCTGTTTTCCCGAAAACATTTCTCGACTTTTCCGAAATGCTCCTTTTTCCACGCCTCCTCCCCGCCCTCCTTCCTACACCTAGTGATCACGCTGATTCGGAAACGCCGCAATCAGCCGCGCCGCCGCAAATCAACATTACTGAAACTTTCCAGTAAGTAATAAAAAAAAATCACAAAAATATTGCGAGAAGATAGATCATGGGGCCAAATTACTAGTAACATTGCGGCGGAAAGTCGAAGTATTTTTGCAAAATTAAATAAATTGGAAAAGGCACACTAGCTGAGGGTTTTAGAGAATTTGCATATTTTTTTTTCGAATTAAAAATCAAAGTTTCGAAAAAATTCTTGACTGGCTTGGTAGGCGATGGTACAATGCAGCTGAATGGTATTTGTGAAAATGTTCGCGCCAGCGCCTGCGGAAATTTGGACTTTCGGTACTAACTATTAGCGGGGGGGGGGAACTAATTTGGGCTAATTAACTAATTTGGACCCATTTGGACTTTCGGTATTGGACTATTAGCGGGGGGGGGCCAATTTGTTCTTAGTAACCCGTACGGCTCTATCACGAATCATGATCCCGTTCATACATTTTACGCAGTTTTTTAGATATAAACACCAAAACGTACTAGGCACGAAAAAACTACGACGAAACGAAAAACTACGAAAAATACTGTAAAAATGCATTATAGATTATTTACAGGTAGGGCAGGAAAAGAATAAGGAAGGAAGCATAACCTACGGCTAAGGAAGGAGAGAAACAAACGCTAGAAGTATATTTTTCAATTTTTCTATGCCCTTTGTTCTTTCGCGCTTAAAATTCACGCAAAGACCACGGGGCACCTTGAAGTATTTGACCGATTACTCACAAGTGGACCTCGTGGAAAATTTGAGTATTTGCCGCCAGCCAACGCAAATAATGCTCTTGTTCTTTTTTCTGGCTCTCTCATTCTCTCTCTCTCTCCCTTTCTCTCTCTATCTCGCTCTCTCTCTCTCTCTCTCAGAGGCTTAATCCCCCACCCACACATTTTGTCGTTCACGCCGGTAAACCCCCGAAAAGATGGCGACAAACCCTGGAGTTATTTTACTTTGTTAAGTGCAAAATTCTGGTGATAATTTGATCATTTACAAAAGTATAAATAAGTATGAATATTTGCGTAAAAGCGCGAGTTTCGAAAACCCCCTTGGTCGCCGAAAATTTTTCGGGTAAAAATGTTTCACAATTCTACGAAAGCTTGAGGTTTTTGACATTCGCCACTTGGTTTCGGATGATCACGCATTAAAAAAAGCTGGACAATAACCCCCCCCCCCCCCCCCCGTTAATGAACCAGAATTGTACGCCAGGGTACTTTAAAACCATAACCAAAATGTATTCCTCGCCCCCGTTAAAAAATATATGAACCAGAAATTCAAATGAGGTAACAAGGGCTGTAGAATTTAATGCCATTCCTCTTGTTTTTCGTTTAAAAATTAATTTAATAAATTTTAAGTTCAAAATAACAAAATCAAACGAGAAAATTAATTTAATAAACTTTTTGTTTATGCGCTTTTTCGCTAAAAAAAAGTATTGCAGCAGGAATTATCAAGAAAATCCACATCTTATACATATATTCTCTGCGAAAATGGATGTTTCAAAAAAATTGCGCTCCGAGGCAGCAAGTGCTTGAATAAAAAATTCAAAGTTTCAGAAATTAGAAAAACTGACCCGAGCAAATGAACGGGAACCACACGCGTGCCGCTCATCCTCCGTGGCGAGTTTTGGAAGGCGCTGAAAAATGGAGCATGATTAAATTTAAATCAAAATGTTTAAATAGTAAAAATCATTTTAAATAGGAAATTTAAGTAGTAAAAATATTAATTTTTTAAATAGTAGAAATTTTAAATTTATCTTGATGGGAAACAGTTGCAAATAAAATTTTACAGAATTTTTTGAGGGTTTTTGAAGATCGTGACAGCTAGCAGTGACCATTTTGAAATTTTGATTTTAAAGACCGGGCAAATGAGCAGAGATTCTTGAAGATTTTTGAAAAACTCAGGGCTGGCTAGCAGAGATCCTTAGAGATAAACTAAAGATGCAGGGGCAAGATGGTCGAGAAAATTTTGCAAATCCAGGCAAACGAGCAGAGCTTCTTCGAAAATTGTCAATTTATGGAGAGCTGGCGTAGTTCATTTAGGCAAATAAATCCAATTTTACAATAACGCGGCAAGCTAGCAGAGATTATTTGCGGAAATCGAAACGAAGGTAGGGAAACTAGCAGAGACCATTTAGGAAATGTAGCATGCAAAGGCAGGCAAACAAGCAGAGACCATTTAGGAAGACCATCGGCCTTTACAAATCCGGGGCAGGCTAGCAGAGATTCTTTGAGATTCTTGAAAAAATGGAGGGCAGGCTGGCAGAGACAATTTAGGAAGCTACGAGGCAAGCTAGCAGCGATTATTTGCGAAAAACTAAACAGATCACTAGCAAAGGCCATTTAAGAAGCCTGGGTTGAGCTATGAGGCAAGCTAGCAGAGAATATTTTCGGCAAACCAACTCGAACTTGCCAATCCGGGGCAGGCTGGCAGAGATTCTTCAGGAAGCTACGGGGCTAGCTAGCAGATATTATTTGCGAAATTCGAAACATATGGAATGTCGCGTATCAGGCAGGCAAACGAGCAGAGATTCTTTGAGGTTGAAAAATCCCGGGCATGCTGGCAGAGGCCATTTAGGAAGCTACTAGGCAAGCTAGCAGAGATTATTTGCGATAAAAAACAGATGGGGCAACTAGCAGAGACCATTAGCCTTGGAAAATGGTTGAAAAACCACCTCTCAAATCGCGGACGGAGCGTTTGAACGTATAATGAAGGATTCGGAGCCATTTTCCGTCTGGTTTTTTAGAAATATAGATTTTTAATAGAATTTAGAAAAAACTGTTTTAGTAGAAATAGTAGTTTAGTGGGTGCAGAAAAATACAGTGAATTTTTTAGTGCTTAGCGTGTAGATGTTGTGGAAGGGAATGAATGGTATGATCGCAGCCTCCTCCGCCTCCCCCTCCTCCGCCTCCTTTTCCAAATAGAGACCTTTCTCCCCCGTTTTCTTTGCGTATTCACACGGCTGAATTCCCGCCCCTCCCCTAAACGATTCTCCGCTCGTTTTATAGCCTGTTTTTGGAGCGTAGCGTAGCGGAATACCTGGTACGTCACGGAATATATGAAAACGAAAAAGAATGTTTTATCAAAAAAAGTTTTAAAAAAATATTACAGGCGAGCGATTTTGACCTTGGCAAACAAAATATATTTTTTCGAAAACTACACCGCCAGAAATTGAAACGTACATTTATTAAAAAACGAACAAAACGATTCCCCCCAAAAATTCGATGAAATTAAAAAAGAGGTTTCTAGAAATAATCGGGACAAAACGTTATTTTTTTATGGCAATGGACCGATGGAAGTTTTTGCGAAAGTTACTAGCGAATCTCCACATTGTCCTTTAAACGATTCCCCGCTCGTTTTAACGCCTGTTTTTTTTTGGATTATAGCGTAGCGGAATACCTAGTACGTTACGGAATATCCTACTATATATAAAAAAAATAGTGTCTGTGCGTGTGTGTGTCGGTGTGTGTGTGCCACTTTGCATCCACTTCCGTCTGTCTGTCCGGAGGATATCTCGATAGGGGATGAATTTTAAGGTATGTATGATACGTCATTAGGTGCGTAATGGCCTGGAGACGACTGCACGCATTTTGGATTCAGCAAAATTACCTATTTTCGACATTAAATTTAAGTTATTGTTAAAAGTTCTTTGTTAGAACAAATTAGCATAGACCGGAAGTTGGGATTCGACTATATAACGGGATAAAAGAGGTTGTTTTTCATTTTTTTGTCGTCCGAAAGCAGGACACTTATGCAAAGTGATGGATAAAATATAGGGGTCAGACGGGGCCAGGGTTGAAAAGTCGCGAAGCGGCTTTTCAACCCTGGTTCAGGTTGAAAAAAGAATGTTTTTAGCAAAAAATTTATCGAAAAATATTCTGCGAAGGCCAATTTGATTTTGGGGGATAAACTAATTTTCGCAAATTTCATCCTCAGAAATTAAAACAGGTTTTCTAAAAAAACAAATAAAAACTATTTTCCGCAACAATTCCGATCCCCTAAAAATCCGAAACTCTATAATTTTAGCAAATTAATAAAAGACAATATATCGATCAATTTTTCTGCACTATACATATTTTACAGCTAAATTCCGGCCCCTTCTGTTAGACGATTCGTTTACTAGCCGGCTTGTGGGGCGTAGCCAGGGACGTAGCGTAATATGTCGTATTTTTGCCTGCGGCGCTGTTTTTTCGGCTATGTTTTGAGTTTTTTGGAAAACATTTTTCGGGGCCCCCCCCCCCCCCCGAAATTTTTTCTGGCTACGCCCCTGGGCGTAGCGTAGCGGAATCTCTAGTGCGTCACAGGATATTCCCGCAGAAAAAAATGTTTTCTGAAGGAAACTAGATCAAAAACGATTTTCCCCAACAATTCCAATGCCATAAAAAATCCGAAACCCCCGAATCCTATCCAAAATAAAAAAAAGGAGTTTCTTGCAGAATCGGGATAAAACGTTATTTTTCCTTCGATAGATTTTTTTTGCAAAATTAACTACATAGTACTCGGCACTTGGCACCGTCCCTCTAAACGATTCTTCACTAGCTTTATCGCCTGGTTTTTGGAGCGTAACGTAACGGAATACCTGGTACGTCACGGAATCATCACGGTGAAAAAGAATGTTTTATGAAAAAAACTGATAGACAGATATTTCAGGCGAGCGATTTGCAAAATGACATCACCCTCACCGAAATGAAGAATTAGATTTTCTACAAAAAAAGCCAAAAACAAGTAAAAATCCTATCCTACTATATATAAAAAAATAGTGTTTGTGTGTGTGTGTGTGTGTGTGTGTGTGTGTGTGTGTGCATTTGCATGCAACTTCCGTCCGTATGTTCCAGTCGTATCTCAATAGGGGAGGAAGTTAAGGGTACGTATGATACGTCATTAGGTGCGTAATGGTCATGACACGACTGCACGCATATGAGATTTTTAAAAAATAGCCGTTTTCGATATTAAAATTAAGTTTTTGTGAAAATCTCGCTCAGCCGCTTTGTTAGGAATCAATTAGCATGCACCGGAAGTGGGGGAAGGCTATATAATGGCGGAGAGGACGCGCTTTTCATGTTTTTTGCACAAGAATCCAGGATTTGATGCAAAGTGATGAAGCATGGGGGGTTAGACGGGGGCCAGGGTTGAAAAGTCGCGAAGCGGGTTTTCAACCCTGGTCCAAAATAAAACAATGAAGTTTCTTGCACAGAATTAGGAAAAAAGTTAATTTCTCCATGGATAGATTTTTGCAACTTATTAACTAAAAAAACCACCAAAATCGGTGAGTTTTAGGAGAATAGACAAAAACGTTTCTTGAACAAAAGAATGAAAGACCGGATTTTTCTAAGATAATGTAGCCCCCAGCCTAACGTTGCGGAATATCTTGTGCGTCACAAAAAAATTGCCTTTTCTAAAAAAAAACCCAGAAAAACGATTTTATCGAGTAATTCTGCCGAGGAAAAAACCTAGATAAATCAAGAAATTCGAAAGCTAAAGAAATTTGAAGAAGTGCAAAAATGTTTCTTGAAAAAATATGGATCAAACTTTTTTCTAACTATCAATACAGCTACGGTACTGCCTTGATCAAATTATTTCGCGAATGCATGTGTGCATCGCTGAATAGGGCAAAAAGGTAACAAAACACGTCGAGCCGGAATATCTAGCGCCTATAAAGCAATTATAAGGCGACCAGCTGAGCCCGTTTTTCTGTTTCATGAATATTCGGGCCGTTAAAGGGCACGTTCAGGGACGTTTTTCGGCAAGAAAGCAAAGATTTTTGCCGCGGCCGGGGGTCGAACCCGGGCCTCCCGATCGGGAGACGCGGTCGCATACCAGTCAGCCACAGGTGCAGCCTGGCGAGGGGCCGAGGGGCGCCCCACCCCGGAGGGGAGAGGATTAGCCTCCCACGGCACGGGCAGGCAGCGCGCGCGGTCCCTACGTCCATAGGGTGTACACGTTGGGACGAGTACACGGCCCCTCCCTGAACGTGCGCGTTAAAGGGCACGTTCAGGGACGTTTTTTTTTGGAAAAAAGCAAAGATTTTTGCCGCGGCCGGGGGTCTGACCCGGGCCTCCTGATCGGGAGACGCGGATGGATACCAGTCAGCCACAGCTACAACCTGGCGAGGGGGTGAAGGGCGCCCCACGCCGCAAAAGAGGGAAATTGCCTGCCACGCCACGGGCAGGCAGTACGCGCCGTCCCTACGTCCATAGGGTGTACACGTTGGGACGAGTACACGGCCCCTCCCTGAACGTGCGCTTTAATTTATGATAGAATTTAGGTGAAATACACAAAACCGCTTTATGCAAGAACCGCACGTCCTACTACAGGGACCAATAAAAAAAACACCCCCTCTAACTCAACGCAGAAGTATCGAAGCGGAATGATATTTACACCATCCGAAAGCCCTTGAAACGGCCAGTTTGCAACAATCTTCAAAAAGGAACGGCCTCTTCATCCAATTAACGACTACTTCCGTTCTTTTTGGTATGGGGAATTTGAGGCAAATTAGCTCGTATGCAACCCCAAAAAGCGGTGAAATTTCACAAAATGGCTTGTAAAATGGCGTAGTTCAATAAAAACATGGTTTTGAAGATTGAAGATATCAACCAAAATATCAAAAATAGTGTCTGTGTGCCACTTTGCATCCACTTCCGTATCGTTGTTCCAGTCATATCTCAAGCTGGGTAGAAATCTAGGGGGCGTATGATACGTCATTAGGTGCATACGGTTCTCGGGATGACTGCACACATATCCTACCTTTTAAATTTAGACATTTACGATATTAAATGTAAGTTTTTGTGAAACCTCCTTTGTCGACATTTGAGCGTCGCAGGCGAAAAATTTTGACAAACTAGCATCGCCGCATGCTAAAAAATGAGTAAAAAGCAAGAAAACGGGCCGCAGGCAGCGTTGAAAAGTCGCGAAGCGGCAACCCTGTCTTTTTAAAATAGAATCTTTTCTAAAATATCTTCAAAAAAATATTTTTGCAAAAAATTTTGAAAATTTTTTGGGTACACCGCACTTGCCGAATTGCGACTAAAAACAAAATTAGAGCACCGCGGTTATAAGAGGAACACGTTTTTTTAATCAGTTGGTAGGCCTCTTCTTAAAACTAATTATTTAGGTAAAGGTTGCGTAACAGGGGGGGGAGTCCAATAAAATCTATGCTTAAAGATTGAAAAGCTGTTTCCTCCCCCGTTATTCCCCCACCGTTAAGCAACTTTTAATTGCAATGATGCTGTGCAACACACATACTATTTTGAATATTTTCGTTTTATGCACGGACCTTTTGGAAACACATTTTTTTAGCCGCGGCTTTTGAGACAAATAGGACGCTAGCAATTAAATATCATACTAAATTTAAAAAAAACTAAAATCTCATAAATTAACGTTAATTTAGGTCCGATGACCTGCTGTCCCGGGAGAAGGAGTCGGTGCTCATGCGACAGCTCCTCAAGGGCCTCCTGTCCGTCTACGGCTCCAGGGTTGAAAAGTCGCGAAGCGGCTTTTCAACCCCGGCCTATTAGAATTATCAACATAAGCTATTTTCAATATTAAAATTGGCTTTTTGGTAGGGAACAATTAGGATCTGCGCAAAGTAGAAGAAACCATTAAAAAGAGCTGGAAGGAATTAGGAATTTTTTTCAGCTTGACGGAGCGTGACCGACTAGTGAAATTCATTGAAAAGGTGCCAAGCCAATTTGCATTGATTGTCTGCGAGTCATTGAAGCTGATAAAATTCTCTTGACAAGCAAGAAATTTGAAACACGCGTTTTGCTCGGACGAAACGACAAAAATGAACAAATTTCTGTAGGACTTGGGGAGAGAGAAAGAGACAGAGAGCGAGTGAGAGAGAGAGAGAAAGACACAATAATAGATACCAAATAACATGAGGGTATCCAAAGAAATTCGAAACACATGTTAGCATTGCATAAAAGCGCGGCGATGATCAAGGGGGGAATGATTTCCCGAACAACCGACGGTTTTCGAGGGCCAGGAGGGGCGAGAGAGTATGGAAGGGAATTCGGGAGCTGGAGATAGAGAAAGAGAGAGAGAGAGAGAGAGAGAGAGAGAGGGAGAGACAGCGAAAGATAGCAACAAACAAACACCGGGTCCGTGGCTAGACCCCCCTCTTTTGCGTTGCTTTCCATTCCCCCATGCTTTGTGCACCTACCACCGACTGACCAAAAAGATGAAAACGCGCCCCCTGACACACCACAAATACGAAACACCCCCCTCGAAAGGTCGACCGATCAATGTAGATTTTTTGGAGGTTACCTGCGAGCTGCCGGTAAGTGTCTAGGAAACCCCCTCAACTTTTCAGGTATACGTCGCTTTAATGCCTGGTATATCGCAAAATGTTTGCCTTGGTCGAATTACTATAGAAAAGTTGTTTACTGACGCCAAAAATTGTTAGAAATTTTTTTACAAGATTTTGAAATGTGAAAATATTAAGTCGCTATGCCTGAATGTACTACGGGTTTTAAACTCAAACATCTTCTTTTTCGCTATTTTTTTCGATTCAAATGTTCTGTAGCTTGATTCTCCAGACCAAGAGCTACATTGTGATACTATTGACAGCTCTGTACGACTAAAGTTAGCCAAGATACGAAAACTCACTTTGGAACAGCAAAAATTAATTAAAGAAAACCCTGACTTATAATTATTATAAAAAAATTCCTGGCAATTTTTCATGTAAGAAAAAACTTTTCTATAGTACTTCGACCACGGCGAGCATTTTGAGATAATCCACGCATTAATAGGACATATGGCTGAAAAGTTGGGGGATCGGGTTTGCGAGACTTTTGCCAAACTGCACCCCCGCGCCCTCTTAAAGGGCCTAGCAAGCCAAAATTCGGCTCTTTTGCATCATCGGGGGGGGGGGTTATCTTTAAGTCCGGAAATGCTTACAAGGGAAGGGCAAGTACACGAACTGGGAATTCGAAAAACGCTCGCGGCTACCCCCAGGTTATCGGCCACGGGGAACACGATGGTGTTGTCGGAATTTTCCACCGAGCCCTGTAGAGCGAGATACGGTACTTCCGGAAAAGGGGTCATTTGCATACGCGAAATTAGCATGCTTCTTCGGGTTTATTGGGGGCTTCTACGTCTGTACCATCAGCTGCGAGTTAGTCAATTGCTAACTGAACAGTTTTTTTAAAAACCTACCAGGGTTCGGATCCACTCAGAACTTTTAATTTTTGCTTTTTGCTTTTTGGAAGGGCGACCCAGGTCAATTTCGGCTGTCATAGATGGAAATTTTTGGGCTGGACTTCGGGTTTGAAAGAGAAAGTTGGCTTCAAGAACAATGAAAACAGTCAAATAGCCTGCAAAAATAACATTCCAAAAAGCAAAAAATTGCCGATTGTGGCCGATAACCTGGGGGTAGCCGCGAGCGTTTTTCGAATTTCCAGTTCGTGTACTTGCCCTTCCCTTGTTAGTAACGTCATGGTAAGTATCTTAAAGACCCTTGGAAAGATGGTCGAGCGTCCCCAGGGGTGAGGGACCGACGGGGGACTACTATCGACGTAATTCATATTACGAATTCGTAATTTTCTAATTTTTGGTGCTATATTTCAAGTGGAAAAACAATCAAAAACATAACAAAATTAAGGCGAATTTTTGGCCGAAAACGGATCGAAAAATCGATATTTTTGCATTTTTAATAAAAAATTTGTAACGTGATAACTTTGGGAATAGTAAGAACAGTTTAGAGACACGACCTCTATTTATATTAAAAAAAAAACGAAAAAAGCGAGCAAACCACACATAAAAAAAGATAAGAAAAAAGAAAAAAGCTATATAAGCTACAAAATATTATGGGCAATAATCCGTAAAACCTGAATCTACCCCAGTGCCTGGCCGAAACATACTTTTCAAAAAAGGCGTCCATTTCCGGGTCGGCGGGGAACTTGAAGTCGTCCATGTCGAGCCGATCCATACGATCCATCAGGCGCATTTATTCTACGGCCTTTTCGCGCGTTTCTGGAATTAAAATTCGAAAATAGCATAGCGTAATGAATTCTGAGAACTACACGAAATTTTCAAAATTGGTTCTGGACTGTTAGCGGGGGGGGGGGATTTTTAGCAGGGGGAACCACTTTTTGTTTCTCCACCTGTACCTGCTCATGTTATATTTTTCTAGCGTTTTCAGTAGTTTTAGGTTGTTAGAAAGGTATCACAAAACCATCTTTTTATTTTGAAAAATCGACAATTTTATTTTTTTCGTAATTTTTCCTGCATTTTTGAACAAATTTTTATTTTTCAATATTGATTTTATCTAAAAACTATGTAAAATGCTATAAAAATTCACCTCGATCATCAATTCTTTTATACAGAACCTTAAAAGTATCGATCGAACTACGACTAGGCAAATAACGAAAATTTAACTGGAAAAAACTGGAACTGAAACTCGAAAAAAGGATGAAACATGGCAGTTTCCGGCCCAAAGCCCGGGGATTATAATGTAAGATGTTATCGGGTAGGGCGTGTCGATAACAAGGAGCTACGCACGGCCAATTTACGGGATGACGGGAGGAAGGGATGGGTGATAAGCAGCCGGAAAAAGGGGGAGAGGCAAGAAAAGGAGACTGGACTGAAAGAGGAGCCGTCTGGGCGGAGAACCAGGGTGATCACGAGCTGGTGGGGAAGAGAGAGAGAGAGAGAGAGAGAGAGAGAGAGAGAGAGAAAGAACGAGTGAAGGAGAGAGTGAGTGAGAGCGCGAGTAAGAGAGAGAGAGAGCGCGAGAGTGAGAGAGAGATAGTCGGTGAGTGAGTGCGAGATAGAGAAAAAGAGAAAGACAGAGACAGGGAGAGCGAGAGAGAGAGAGAGAGAGAGAGAGAGAGAGAGAGAGAGTGAGTGAGTGAAGAGTGAGTGAGGAGCCCATATTTTTGCCACGCCCGCGACACGCAATGCGCACCAATTTCGCCCCATGCGCGTTGCGTGTGTCGCGTTCCGTATCGCGGCAGCAAAAAAAACAGTAAAAAAGAATGGCAAAGTTCAGAATCGATGGCCTGCAATTTCGAAATTATGAAATATCGACACTATTATTATAGCAAATCGGGGAACGGACCTGACTTCTTAGCTCCTTTAAAGACGAGTTGACACCTGATCCAAACGACCTTCCCCTTGGAGGAAAGCCTAAGAAACACGAATCCATTATCGGGGCGCGCCGGCTGCACCTCGACCACACCCTCCCCCCACCCCCGCTTTTCGGGGGGTTGGCTGGGCGGGAGTGAAAGAAGACGAAGAACGAGTTTGTTTTTAGGATCCCTCATCGTCTCGTGGCGAGAGAAAGAGAGAGGGAGAGAGAGAGAGAGAGAGAGAGAGAGAAACCGCGCCGGCCACGTTTCTCCCCCTCCCCTCCCCCCAAATGACTCATTCCAATAATTGTTTACATATTTCGGGGGGCTGCCGGGCGTTAAGCTGGCTTCGAGGAATTTTTTACGGGACTGACAGGGCGTCATCACTTCCTCGGCTTGTTCTCAACGTATTTTCACTTCCTAGCCCCTTTAAAGAGGATATAGACGACAAAATCCATAATTCTGGGTTGTCCGTCCCTTGAAAAAAACCTGACAATTTTTAGCGAAACGAAAAAAGCAAAAAAGCCAAGATAACTACGATTTAAATGTTTACAGGATTTTAGATACATGCAGAATTACCAAAAAATTCGAAAATTTTTTGTAAGTTGGATTTCTTGCAAGTTTGTAAGTGTACAAAAATGTATGAAAAATTACGAAGAAGGACAATATTTAGAATTTTCAAAAATGATTAAAATATTTGTTTTCTAGCGGTCGCAGTTACCTAGTAATCGCATATAAAGAGTAAAAAATAACTAGTAATAAGTCAACTATATTCAAAGCAGAAAAAAGAAAGTACTTTCCAAAAAGTTAGAAAAGCGTTTAAAAAGTCGAATAGTTGGGCATTTTGGAACGAAAAAATAAATTTTACAACCTAAAATTCGATTTAATGAAAAATTGTAAAGTTGATGCCCAGGAATAGTGAAAAACAATACAGAAATGCATCCGTAAATTAGAGAAAAAATCTAAGTTTGCCCGAAAAAACGATGACCTGCCGCGAATCCTAAAGGACCGAAAACAAAAATTAGTCCCCCCGCTAATGGTAGAGTACCGAGTGACCTGCACCGATTTAGCCAGACTAGAGAAGCTCCCATAATTATCCAAGAAAAGCCGCCACGGCGTTATCTTTAGAAACGCACCGCCAGAAAACAAGGGCCACCTCATCGGAGAATGCCAGGAATTTCCTGTTTTTACCGCGGTTGTAGCGATAGCCATGCTGACACACCATTGGCAAGCTAGCAGAGAACGTTGAGGAATCGGGGAAGATCGGAGCTAAATAAATACTGTATATTTTAGGTGTTTCAGCTCTACCCTGCACCCACGACGCGTCCGTGCTTTTAATTTCGGCGTCGTACACACGTCTTAATCTCACCTTACGGTACCTAAATAAAACGTGGATTTTTCGATTGAAATCGAAAGATGTCGTCGAGTTCTTCCATTTCCAGTTCAAAAAAACCGTCCAGACTAGCAGAAATAAAAAGTTATAAATATTTTAAATTGGCTAGTTCACTTTCCGGTAACTAAATAAAAAAAATGAATTTTTCGACTGGAATCGACAGATATAGCCTAAACAACCTCTCTGCTAACATGCCAATGGTTTTCATATTCTCGAAAATTATCGATCATATTTTCGAAAAGCCGTTTTACGAAAATCAGGGTTTCGAAAAATTTGCATTACTATTTCATGCCATTTGCGACTGTTTCCTATTGATAGCTACGCAAATTTTCGAAAATATGGCTTAGCATCGTGCAACCATTGGCATGCTAGCAGAGATCTTTTAGGCATCGGGGAAGGGCGGAGCAAACTAAATACGGTATATTCTATGTGTTTCAGCTCTACCCTGCACCCACGACGCACATAATACGCGTCGATGACGCCCACATTATGTTGTATCCTTCAGTGCGCAGCAACTCCTGAAAGAAACACCGGTCAATGTCATTGAGACCGGGAGGGGGGGGGCTTTCGCATTAGCGGGGGGGGTAAATCCTAAACCCCCCCCCCAGCCGCCAAATTTCTTTTATACAATTCTGCAAATTTCATTTTCAAAAATTCTGCGTTTTCAAAATGTTTGCGGTAACAGCAAACTAATCTCGGTAATTTAGCACATAGGGTAACGGGGGGGGATATTTGCAGCATTTTGTGTATTTTCGATATTTTGAAGGTGCCATTTGATGGAGGGCCGGAAAAATATACTCTGAGACTTTTTAGCGCCCGAAAAAACCCCGATTTAAAATATTTTTATTATAAAAAACTTTGAGCGCTCCCCCCGTTATTCTACAGGGTGTCCCAAAAAAACGAACCAGCCGGCATTGCGCCGCCTTCCATCCAATCGGTTCCAAGTCCCGAAACGTACGAATTCTTGGCTCCATTTTTATAGCATTCTACACCGTTTTTAGATACGTGCAGAATTAAAAAATTCGACAATTTTAGATGGTATGCACAAAAATCCTACCTTATATAATTTTGGCGCGTATGTGTGTGTGTGTGTGTGGATGTCACTTTCGGGCCCCGATTTGAGGGCCTTCCTGTGCATAAAATGCCCTAATTCTCCGTCACCCGGGAGAATCGACCCTTCTGTTTCTGATGGCGTTCTCAGAATTTCGATAAAAGACAAGTTTACAAAGTTAAGGCCGGTTTTATTCATTTTTGAGGGTCCCTGAGGGGCTAATTTGCATAATGCGCAAAATACAAATTTCCTCATTCTTGCCAGTTGCACTCGCGTGTGTGGCCGGTGGGGGGAAGGGGTCCGAAGGACCCGAGTGATCGGAAAGTCAAATTTATCATGCAAAAACCGCATTCCAGCGCCCAAGGCCCGCGAAGCGGGGTTTTGGGCGCTGGTCTATAATAAATTACTAAAAAAGGACAACTGCCTTTGATGCCACGAATGCCTGAAACATCTTTAACAACTTTTGGCAATCAAAAACTAGTAAAAACATTATAAGAATACACTGTTTATCATTAACAGATAGTTATAGACTGAAATGATGGAAAGCAAAATTAGTCTCCCCCGGCTAACAGTCCAGTACCGAATTCCCTGCATCGATTTAGCAAGACCGGGGCTACTCTCATAATTATCCGGTTATCCTTAAAAACGCCACGCCAGAAAACAGGGGCCACCTCATCGAAGAATGCCAGGAATTTCCTGTTTTTTTCTTGGTTTTAGCGAAAAGCATGCTGGCATCCCATTGGCATGCTAGCAGAGATCGTTTAGGAATTGGGGAAGATCGGAGCCAACTAAATACGGTATATTCGATGTGTTTCAGCATTACCCTGCACCGACGACGCCCATAATCCCCACATTATGCTGTATCCTTCACTGCGGAGCAACTCCTGAAAGAAACACCGGTCAATGTCATTGAGACCGGGAAGGGGGGGGGGGTCTTTCGCATTAGCGGGGGGGGGATCAATCCTAAAAATCCCCCCGAGTGACGGCCAGTTCGCCTAAATCCATTTCGCCTAAAACCCGTTTCGCCTAAAACCCGTTGGCCTAAAAACCGTTTCGCCTAAACCCATTTCGCCTAAAACCCGTTTCGCCTAAACCCGTTTCGCCTAAACCCATTTCGCCTAAACCCGTTTCGCCTAAACCGATATCGCCTAAACCCGTTTCGCCTAAACCCATATCGCCTAAAACCCGTTTCGCCTAAACTCATTTCGCCTGGAAACGAACCGGAATTCATCTGGAATCTGGAAATACAAGGTACAGCATATTGGATATTTACAGCGTTTTGTGTATTTTCGGAATATTGAAAGTGATATTGGTTCTTTAGGATTATCTTTAGGATTTTACCCTGGTTGCAGCGATGGCCATGCTGGCATCCTATTGGCATGCTAGCAGAGATCGTTGAGGAATCGGGCAAGAGCCGAGCTGTATATTACTAA